GATCCATTTTGAATTAACTTTTGTGCATGGCGAGAGAAAGGGATTCAGTTTCATTTTGTTGCATATGGATTTCCAGTTTTCCCAGCACCATTTCATCGATAAATTTCTTAAGTCATATGATCTGCCCAGATTGAGTCAGGAGGATATAGACAACCTAAACAGACCAATATCAGTTGAGGAAATAGAAGAAACCATCAAAAGACTACCAACTAAGAAAAGCCCAGGACCGGATGGGTATACAGCAGAGTTTTACAAAACCTTTAAAGAGGAACTAATACCAATACTTTTCAAGCTACTTCAGGAAATAGAAAAAGAGGGAGAACTTCCAAATTCATTCTACGAGGCCAACATCACCCTGATACCTAAACCAGACAAAGACACTTCAAAGAAAGAAAACTACAGACCAATATCTCTAATGAACCTAGATGCAAAAATCCTCAATAAAATTCTGGCGAATCGGATACAAAAACATATCAAAAAAATTGTGCACCATGATCAAGTAGGATTCATCCCTGGGATGCAAGGCTGGTTCAATATACGGAAATCAATAAATGTTATTCACCACATCAATAGACTTAAAAATAAGAACCATATGATCATCTCGATAGATGCGGAAAAAGCATTCGACAAAGTACAGCATCCCTTTATGTTCAAAATTCTAGAAAAACTAGGGATAACAGGAACATACCTCAATATTGTAAAAGCAATCTATGCTAAGCCTCAGGCTAGCATCATTCTGAATGGAGAAAAATTGAAGGCATTCCCTCTAAAATCTGGAACAAGACAGGGATGCCCTCTCTCACCACTTCTGTTCAACATAGTTCTCGAAACACTGGCCAGAGCAATTAGACAGATGAAAGAAATTAAAGGCATCAAAATAGGAAAAGAAGAACTTAAATTATCACTATTTGCAGATGACATGATTCTATACCTAGCAGACCCAAAAAGGTCTACAAAGAAACTATTAGAGCTAATAAATGAATTCAGCAAAGTGGCAGGATATAAAATCAACATGCATAAATCAAAGGCATTCCTGTATATCAGCGACAAATCCTCTGAAATGGAAATGAGGACAACCACTCCATTCACAATGTCTTCAAAAAAAATAAAATACTTGGGAATCAACCTAACAAAAGAGGTGAAAGACTTATACAATGAAAACTACAGAACCCTAAAGAGAGAAATAGAAGAAGATCTTAGAAGATGGAAAAATATACCCTGTTCATGGATAGGCAGAACTAACATCATCAAAATGGCGATATTACCAAAAGTTCTCTATAGGTTTAATGCAATGCCAATCAAAATCCCAACGGCATTTCTTGTAGAAATAGAGAAAGCAATCATGAAATTCATATGGAAAAATAAACGACCCAGAATAGCAAAAACAATGCTAAGCAGGAAGTGTGAATCAGGCGGTATAGCGATACCAGACTTCAAACTCTACTACAGAGCGATAGTAACAAAAACAGCATGGTACTGGTACCAAAACAGGCGGGTGGACCAAAGGTACAGAATAGAGGACACAGAAACCAATCCACAAAACTACAACTATCTTATATTTGATAAAGGGGCTAAAAGCATGCAATGGAGGAAGGATAGCATCTTCAACAAATGGTGCTGGTATCTAGTTTAAGGTGTCCTTAGAAATGATAATATTCTAGGCTAGGATATTCCTCTGTCTTCCTTCATTCTTTTCCTCCATCTTTCTTGCTTCTGGGGACCTAGGACCCGAGGGCTGCCCCGACACCTCCGCACTCTGATCCCCCCCACCCCGCGCTGGCGGCGACACTGCTCCGCCCAGTCGTGCCTTGGGAACCGGGGACTGTCCCTTATTAGTTCTATCAATATTGAGTATGTGTACTGTCTATGACCCAGCAATTCTATTGCTAGGTATATACCGAACAGAGTTTTTTTTTTTTTTGTACCAGGGATTGAACTCAGGGGAACTTGACCACTGAGCCCCATCCCCAGCCCTATTTTGTTTAGACAGGGCTCACTGTGTTGTGTAGCGCCTAAGTTTTGCTGAGGCTGGCTTTGAATTGCGATCCTCCTACCTCAGTCTCCTGAGCCACTGGAATTACAGACTTGTGTCACCACATCGGCTGGAACAGAAATGTTTATATATATAATATATGTTTATGTTTATATATATATATATATATATATATATATATATATACACATATATATACACATACACACACACTATTGTTATGATTTAGATATGAGGTCTCCCCCTGAAACTCAGGAGACAAGGCAAGAAAAAAAAATTTAGAGGTGAAACAATCAGGTTCTGATTGTTCCAGAGTCTTCATCTAATCAATACATGGAATGGATTAACCAGATGGTAATGGTAGGCAGGTAGGGTGTAGATGGAGTAGGTAGATCCCTGGGGTGTGTTTTTGGGGTATGTATTTTGTTCCTGGTAAGCAGTTTTCTCTGCTTCCTGGTGGGCACATTCAGTCTATGACTGAAACCTCTGAAACTGTGTGCCAAATAAACTTTTCCCCTTCTAAATGTTCTTGTCAGGTCTTTTGGTCATGGTGACAAAAAGGCTAACTAATACAAACATACTACGTGTCCTAGAGTGTTCATAGGAGCACTTGGCACTACCTTAATAATTACTAATGAAGGAGTGGATAAATTATGATTTATGCATACCACAGGATATTGAATAGCAAGAATGAATGCAGGACAACTATAAGCAATATGTAGATGAATCTTTCACATACATAATTCCGAGTAAAACAAGCCAAACAGGAAGCAGATCATGAGTTGGTACACATCTATAACCCCATTACTTGGGAGGCTGAGGCAGGAGGATCACAAATTCAAGACCAGCCTTGGCAACTTAGTGCAAAACAAAAATTTTAAAAGGCTGGGGATGTAGCTTACTGGTAGAGCACTCATGCATGAAGCCCTGGATTTAATCTCTAGTACCCAAACAGACAAAAATCCAAAAAGGAAAAAAAAAAAAAAGAGAGAAAGTCAGACATAAACCCAATAAAATTAAATCTAGAAGTTAGGATAGTGCTACCCTTTGGGGGATAGTGACTGGATAGAGCACAAGAAGACTGATTGGGGAATCAAATTTTCAGTTATAAGTGAATCCAGCCCACTCTACCTAACAAGGCTGGGCACTCCCAAGCAGTCCTAAGTGTTCAAACCATGAGTGGAGAGAGTCATGGAACATTTTAGTGAGGTGTTTTGGATCCTTCAGCCCCAATACCATGTGTGACAGAAGATGAGCCATTCCTGATGGGCCTACATGAATTCCTACAGAATATGTTTTTAAAAAACAGTACTTGTTTTAAATAATTTTTTCAATATAGCAATGTATTAACTGGAACAGTTTTACTCATTGAGGGGCTACTGAGAACAGGGACCAAACCTTTCTTTGACTTGGGGTGTTAAAAATACCTAATTTTAATATATGGTGACATAAGAATATCACATGCTGAAATATGAATAAACATTCTATTTTAGTCTCTGAATAAACAACACATACCATGAAGCTTCTTACCAATATAAGGTTAACACAAATTATTTGTTAAATTACTTTGATAATTCCTATTGGTAAGAAGCTTCATGGTATGTGTTGTTTATTCACGGGCAGGACCCGGGTTCGATTCTCAGCACCACATAAAAATAAAGGCATTGTGTTGTGTCCATCTACAAAAAAGATATTCTCTCTCAAAAACAAGAAACAACAAAAAAACCCAAACGTACTCAAGGGTTAAGATTTCACAAAACCAGTAATTCTTATTGATGCACCAAGAACATTGTTATGGGAAGTTGGCTTTCCCCCTCCTGGAGAGTGCATGTTGTTGAAGAATAAAGTAATGACAGGTACAGTTTAGTGTCTCTTCCTGTTGCCGGAAATTTCACCCATCAGTTTTGCATCTTTAGTGCAAATATTCATACAGGGACAAAAACAATCCATCTAGCGTTAGTATAAAATTAATTTTGGCTTTACAGACTTCCAGAATGGGTTCCAGGGGCACCTGAGCACCCATAAATGATGGCTTGTGAATTGCTGGACTAATCCAAGAGGAACATCTCAAAATTAGCCTCTGGCTAGAGTAGATAGGGTTTTTCAGCCCCCAATTGTAGGAAGGCTTAGTTCTGAGTCTGGGTAGATGAGCCTAGAAAGGCCATTAACTTGGCCTGCTTCATTTAGAGTAAACTTTTTCCACCTAGCATTTCCTAGGAGAAACCCAGCTCTTTGGGAGAGCTCATTCCCATCTGGTGATGGAGACAGACCATGATTAAAAATTCTTGTGTGTGTAACCCAGGGGTGGTTAACTACTGAGCCACATCCCCATCCCTATTTATTTTGAGACAGGGTCTTGCTAAGTTGCTGAAGCTGGCTTTGAAATTGTTATCCTTCTGCCTCAGTTTCCCAAGTTGCTGGGATTACAGGCATGCACCACATCACACCCATCCTGAATCAACTCAATGGTTCCAAACTGGACACTGTGTTAGGGCAGCACAGGGGGACTCAACTGAATTGGATATCAGGAAAGACTTTTTGGAAGGAGGAAGCAAAAGAGGCAGTGACAAAGACTTTGGAGATGAAAAGGACTTCTTTAGACTGTGGGGAAAGACATTTTAGATTATGGGCATTGCTTGAGCAAAGGCAGCAGCTCTGAGAACCAAAAATGAATTGAAGATTCATAGTTTCAGATTAGGTCTGTCAATATCTTCAATGCTCAATAAGGAATCTGGACTTAGCAAATAATGCTATGCAAACAGGTAATGTTATATTTAAGGTAAATCCCCATTTCCTTAATTTTTGAGCTAGGCATGATGGTATGTGCTTGTAGTTCCAACTACTTGGGAGGCTGAGGCAGGAGGATTGCTTGAGCCCAGGAGTTCAAGACCAGCCCAGGAAACATAGCAAGTTCCGATTTCAAAAGAAAAAGAATTTTTTAAAAAAAAAATTATGATATTCATCTGTGTATTCATACTTTTAGGAATGTTGATTAAATAGTCAGATGTCTATTTATAATAGCTAATTTATTTACTTATACATGCTTATTTAAAATAACAGTATATACAATAATACAGTAATACAAAATATTGCTTTTTTCCCATTCTCATGTTTCAAGTAACAATTTTTATTCAAATTCTCTACAAGCATCTTGTGTTTCAGTCTTTAGATCTATAGCCAGAGTTTTTTGAAGCACACCTCCATCCCTTGTGTCTTAAGTTGTTTGAGTAGCAGCACTTTTTAAAACATGCCTTTGACACTCACTGGAAAGTCTGATCCAAGTCATCACCTTAGGACCATTCTTCCTCACACCCAATTATCATGTAGGTCTATGTTTGTAAACCTTAGAACCACTTGCTTATTGCTTTTGAAATAGCTCTTTGAAAGGCTGGTTTGAAAAATCTAACTCCTGTAATAGTGAGGGAACACTTTCCTGGAATAGTCAAGTTTTTCCTTCTATTTAATCCATTCCAATAGGAGGAAACTACAACTATACAAACTTGCCTTGCTTGAGGCTGGTATGGGCTAAAATGTGAGGAGCAGCCAGGCGTAGAACAGTTGCAGGAAATGACAAGGATGGTTATATGGGTGACTGAGGAATGAAATAGCAAAAGGTTGTTGGGCAGATCAACATCATGAGCAGTGATGTTTCCTGGGATGGCCTGGGGTAGGAGTGAAGAAAGCTAGAAGTGGTATCTTGGAGAATGGAGTCAGGAGTGGACTGGAGCCAAGCAAACAGTGGAGATCAGAGGACAGTCTTCCCAGGTGGCAAGGGTTTAAATGAGGATATGGAGCAAGGATTTGTCAAGGAGCTTATGGAGGATGCTGGTAAGGAATCCTGGTCCAGTCACGGGGTTGGGAGTGACCAGCACACCATGACTATTAAGAAATGATTTCTCTTCTTTTTCTGCAGTGCGTAGGATGGAACTCAGGGCCTCACACACAAGCTGAGCTACATCCCCAAGCCAAGAAATAGTTATCTTGAGGAAAGAGATGTGCAGAATGGGTAGGTCCTAGAGAAAGATTGAGACGGTCAAGAAGTTTGTGAATCACAAAAGGAGAAGGTATCACACCAAAATTGCCCCCAACAGGTCCCTACTGTCTCTCACAGCACTCATCAGACTGAATTGTCTCTATTCATTTTCTAGACTGCAGGACAGATGCCGGGTCTGCCCTGGATAGCACTGTATCTATGGCAACTAGAACAGGCATATAACAGGCCCTCAGGAAATACGTGTTGGAGGAAGAAATGGAGAGGAAAGAGAAGATCAAAGAATGAGGTACCTGTATCCTATGGAACTTAGGAAGGTGGACAGCAAAGGAGATGGGCCAGGAAAGGTATGGTCAGGACCTCAGAGGGCAGCTGGCATCAAAAACCTACAAGACAAACTATAGGAAATGGATCAGACAGGATTTGTTCAAAAGTTTCCATGGGGACCTCGAGTAGCATCCAGATAGGCCCAAACCACAGCCTGAAGGAATATGTCAGGGTTCCCAGCAAAGGCACTGAAGCTGGAGAACTGAAAACTACTGATGACTATGGGGGTGGAACTGGTCTGTGGCCTCTTCTAACCCTTACTCTTGCATGAGACAAGATTTCAGGGTCTCAGACATGTTCAGGTTCCTAGGGACTGAGAAAGGGGGCTGGTGCTTAGATGGTGGTAGTGTTCAGCTCTGATAAACATCTGTATGCTAATAAAGGACTTTTGCCTCTTTGAGTGAGTCATGAATAATAGGTCTTCAAATTACATTTTATATAGCATGGCATTTCAAATAAACAGGAATGAAAACACTCATTTCTCAATTTGCAGCAAAGCAACAGTATCATCATCTAGGAAACTGGTAAAATGCAAATTCTTAGGCTCCACCCCAGATCTACTAAATCAGAAATTGGTTGTTAGGCCCAGAAACCTGTTTCAAAACATCTTTTCAAGGGATCCAGACATGTGAAAGTTTAAGAACTACTGCTTTAAGGTAAATAAATTTTTCTTAAGTCTTTGACATCTGCTACTCCATGGTGAGTATTGCTAATGGGGAAAACAAAAGAAGGAAGAGCAAACATCTATTTTTTGCCAGGCATAGCAGTGTTAAGAGGCAGTCTCACAGCTTGGGTGTGAGATTCTGGAAAATTCCTTTACCTTAAAACCTTCAGTCTCCTCATTTATAAGAAAGGAAAAAATAAGCACTTACCTTTCAAGATTGTCATAAGAGTCAGATGAGATAGTTCTTGGCCTATGGCAAGTACTCAATTATGCTGTTTATTATTATCATTAAAGTAGAACTTTCAAGGAGCTCATCATTTCATGGACTTAGTTCAGTAGCTAGGCAGGTTTTCCCAAGGTCATGATTTTATATTATATGCACACATTAGTCTTGTCTCTGGTTTCTAAGAATCGACATGTCCTAACTGAGCTGAGACTGATCCTATGAGCTCTTCTAATCCTTGCCCTTTTTAGAGACAGTCTGGTCTTCATGGTCAGACATCAAGATGTCCACACCTTACTCAAAGCCTAAATAAGTACCAAAAGTTCTAATCTTGCAGCAAGTAAATGGAATGACACAGCAACCCATTCTCATGGAAGGGCATGCCTTCTCAGGCCCCATGTCTCTCCTCCTTTAAGCTACAGTTCTCCCTATGAGCTTCGCAGGAGCTTGATGACTTACAGTAGGACTTTAGGGGTGGGTAGAGGAGTTAAATCATAGGCTCAAAAGGCCATCTTGAGTCAAAAAACCCAGCACATATCTTATTAACCTATTGGGGCAGGGGAGAGGGCTGGGGCTGGAGCCCAGGACGTTGTGCATGGTACACATGTTCTACCACGGAGGCACATCTCTTGCCCACAGTACATTTTAGATGCTAATTCCAATTTCCATCTCTTCAGTAGAATATAAGTTCCAAAGGGTCTAAAAGTTTGTTTTATTCCTTTCTGTGTCCCTTCAGGATAAACAGGCCTGATACTTATAGGGTGGACATTTATGAAACCAATACTTGAATAATCAGAAGGAATGGTGGTTGCTCTTCACGAAAATGAAGAAAACTAAAATCTGAAAGGGACTGTGGGGCTTTGATGAGCTCCTGAGGCTGGGGCCCTCCACCTAGAGCTACACTTAACCTGAAAGGCCAAGCCCTGACCAGGTGCTTCTTTAAGCCAGCACCACTCTCACATGTTGTATGGCATTATGGGATTCTTACCATGATGTAGAAGAGGCCAGCTTGAGATCATTTAGGGATGTGCCTGAAGGCACATTCAAGACAATGGGACTTGGAAATTAGAAGATGAGGGAAAAGGGCAGTTGTCACAATCGTCATCTCTCATTTGCTCTTTGGCAAATCTCAACTTTCTTCAAGCTGAAGCCCATTCTTTTTAGGCTGCTTGCATACCTGCCATAGAGAGACTGGGCCCAGAGAATCCCTGACCCAGCCCATGCTTACAAGATCTACTCATGGAACATCTAAAGGCCCACTCATCCAGATGCCTTTCCGTGGTGCCATCTGGTAACAGATGCACTACCAGTCTTAGGCAAGGGAAGTTCCAGGGAAGTTTTGTGGCATCCTGAATGTGCCAGCACAGAGTTTGAAAGACACAAACTGAGGAAATACTTTAGTGATACTCACTAAAGCAAGAATACTCACTTTCCTGTGTGTTAGGCAAGCAGAAAAGGGAAGGCAAAACCCCAACTGAAGATAAATGTCCTTGGGTTTTTGCTCACACAAGTCCCCCCCAGTGTCTTTTATGACCACTCCCACTAGTTCAGAATCCACAGTACCATTCTCCTGCTACTTGGAGCCATTTCTAATCCTGCCTTAGCAGTAAGCCTTCCTCAGTGCCTTCCTGGAAAGGGCATCAGAGTGTGAACCCCACAGGTTGTAACCTTGAAGGTTTTTACTCCCTTGACTCTATCCAAAAGCTAGAATCTGGCCTGGTCATAGAAGTGGTTAGCATTTATAGATTTTTATAACAATTAGCCCCCTCCTCTCATTTTAAGCTTATGTGAACTGAAATGCCTTCTATTTCTGGGTTTATTACATTGATGAGTGCAGAATACAGAGAAACATGAAGAGGCCCTGGCCTAGGAAGACGACTAAGTTCTCATGGTGACCATCCTGCAATAGGTAAGGAACTTTTCTTTTTCTTTTGGTGGGGGTGGGGAGACTGGGGGACACAGACAACCAGGGATTGAACTCAGGAGCACTTGACCACTGAGCCATATCCTCAGCCCTGTTTTGTATTTTATTTAGAGACAGGACCTTCACTGATGCTTAGTGCCTTGCTCTTGCTGAAGGTAGCTTTAAACTCGTGATCCTCCTGCCTCAGCCTCCCAAGCCCCTGGATTACAAGTGTGTGTCATTGCACCCAGCAGTAAGGGACTTTACTGAGGCCTAACTTCTTATTACAAAAATGAGTGAGTGTCTCTTAGTTCCATTGGGTTAGGATTCCATTTTGAGATAATATACCATGACCAAGGAAGGTTTACTAAAGAAAAAGTCTTTCCCAGAATGCAATACCTTGAAGACATGCAGAACACACATGATCATTAGGAATTAGAGCAGTCTGGCAGGATTTAGTCAAGGTTCTTCTGGTTGCTATGTAATACTAACTTTGGGTTGATTCACTCTATGCATTGCTGAGGGATGAGTGGAGTCCAACACAAGGATGCAGGACTGGATGCAGAAATCAGGACAGTCTTGAGGGTTACCAAGGCAGCTGCTCTCTTAGGCTTGCCCATGCACTGCCAACTCTTTTCTAAGTGCCACATCCAAACCACCATTTCTTCCTCATGCAAAATTCTTCAAATAAAGAATTGTCTTGGGCCTATCTGGTCAGGAGTTGAGCCCTGGTCCAATCAATCGGAATGTGGGGGATAGGGATGAAAGGGCAAAAGAAAGATCACTGTACAAACATAGGAGTGTTAAACTTTTGAGTCAGGAAGGATCCCAAACAGTGTCAATAGACAGATCAGTGGCTTAGCTAAATAAAACAGCAATGAAGTTTAGATTTCCTACAATTCAGAATGACCTTCCCCTCCAAATTTCTACTGAACTAGTCAAAGTTCCAGTATTGTAAACCACTTACATTTCATAAAGCTGTAGTGAATATTGGACCCCAAGTAGAAAAAGTTACAATAAATTGCTCCCTGTTTTATTGCTCTTCACTGGATTTGGCTGACAATGCTTTTCACTCTCATCAAATTTATAAAGGTGTGATAAAGACACCAAATTACAAAAAGTTTCACTTTCTCACTATTATTTTTACTTTTTAAACAATGAGTTGATGTCAATGACATGATAAAGAGTGAACAACTGATTACTTGCACCTATAAAAACCCTGCCAGGGAATTATATTTTATGGGCACAATGCATAGAACCTGGAACACAGCAATTGCTCAATAACAGATGAATTCCATTCCAATTTTAAAAGGAGCACAAGGACTTACTTTAGATCAAATATGAAATCTGGCTAATAATTTCAGACCAAAGCTGCTTCTGTGTTTCATAGCAGGTGAGGCAGAAAAGGGTAACCAAATCTCAAACTTGCTAATCTTGTCTTTATAAGAAGTTTATGACTACTGGCATCTCTAACTCAGAAGCACAAAATGTATACAAAGAAATGACTAGAAATTATCTTAATTGAAAGCACTAAGTTTGAATAGCCTAGAGTTTTACAGAAATTGTTAGTCGAAAACATGCAGAGGCAGCAACAGTCACCCAAAACCACATTTAATTCTAAGACCTTTATATTGCTTTTCTCCTATTTAAAGTTTGAAGCAATGTGAAATGGATGGAAATATTTTGCTAAAAGAACAAAATAAATTAATCACAGCATATACACCTAATAAAGACTTCAAGTCTATGCCTACACTCCAAACACAAGGCTAAATCCAGTAGTGGCTTGTATTCTGGGTTTTTGTAAAGCAAATGGAAATATTAGGCGGGATCAATAAATTTCAACAGAAGAGCCATAAATGCCCTGAAAGCAGAAAGCTGACACCATTTTAAATATAATTCATATATATATATATATTTAAAATCAAACACAATTAAATAGAATATGGTTTAAGTACATGAATACTTCAGCTTTATAAGAACAGAGGTGGTACATAGTACCAAAAAACTTATACACAGCCTTTTTGCTTCTTCTGTTGATGAAACAGTGTGCCTCTATACAATCAATATTGCAATGAATAAATTCTCTATTCAATCAAGACTTTCTCAAGGAGAGAGGTGATTAATAATTATATATTTATGCATATATATATCTCCTTTTTTTTTCTCTTCTTCTTTTTTGCAAAGTCTGAGCAAAAGCAGTAACACCTAAGAGAACATTCTATCCCTTCATTTACACACAGAGAGGAAGCACTGGCATGGTGTGGCTGGCGGAGTGTGCATGTCAACTGGGCCACCTTGCTGATGGCTGTGCAGTCCCAATGCAAAGTCGCCTGAGCAGAAGGGCAATGAGTGAGTCTTTCTGTACTGAAGACAAAAAGAAAAAAGGCCACCACTGCACACTTCCCACTCACAGCAAAAAATGGGGGAGGCAATCAAGCAAGTTGAGTACTTTTCTCCCCACTTTAAAAAACAAAATTATAATCTGTGAATAAACATTTTGTTCGAGGTACCACAGGGAAAAAACTGGAGTGATCCTTATGTCTTTCCTCCCACATGCATTCTGAAAGGGAAGTTAAGTAACTGGAGCGTAGTAAATGTTGCTGCTTGCTCCAGAGGAGCAAGACCTAATGCTCAAAGTAAACTAAATTTGCCCTTTTGTTAACAGGGAGAGACTGGTTTTAAGGATATGCTGCCACCAAAGGAAAGGACAATGTCACTGAAACATGACCTGCGATTTGTCTGTTTCTTTCTAAATTAATGCTTCTGTGAAGACTACACAAGGAACTCTCACCCAGTTCCACACATTGCCACTGAGAGCTGCCTGACTCTGAGTGGGGATGACTCACCTGTTAATTTTAGGAGGACAAAGCAAAGCACCTCTGCCACGTTTTATAATTCTGCTTGAGATGGACTCCTGCTCTAAGAATGTGCACCAAATATCAGCTCTATGCTTATCTGCCTCTCACAGGATGTGGTCCCTGTCTATTTCAGTGGGCTAACTCTCTCATACATGGGTTATTGCCATTGGAAAACTAATAATTTTCTAGTAATGTAAACAATACCACTTTGTAGCTTTGTGACTCACTGTATGAACATCATGTGCATCATTTATGTCTACATGTTACTATGCAATATGGTGGAAGTCTAGGATTGTCTCCCATTCATTCCTGGAAATAACAGTGTTATATCAGTGAAAAGAAATACAGTGCTGTTTTCATTGGCTGTGTTGAAGAATCCAACCAAAGGAAAAAAAGTTCTCTTATACTTCAAAAGCAGATTTCCTTTATCTCAGTTCTTGAGTCATAGCTGAAAAGAAAAAGTATAAGGTAAGGTAACATCTCTGTAACAAGTAACATATTATTAATACAGACAAAAGAAGAAGGCAATCATTTACACAGTGTTTACTATACATCAGAGCTTATGACAGTTCAGAAACTGACTAAAGTCTTGAGAAGTAAAATATAAATCTCGGTAAAAATGGGAGCTCATAACCCACTTGAATCAAAGGGTGAAATATGATATATCAAGAACTATGTAATGTTTTGAATAACCAATAATAAAAAATTTTAAAAAAAAAGATTAAATAGGTAACAAACTAAAAAAAAATAAAATAAAATAAATAAAATAAAATAGCATCTCAAAAAAAATATAAATAAATAAATAAATAAAATATAAATCTCCTCATTTACATATGAGTGCATAGAAGTTTAAAGAGGTTAAGTACTTGCTTGAATCTTTTTGTTTTGGCAATATCAGAATGAAAAATGGTTTCACTTTATGACAGAGTAATTCTACTTCTGGAAATTAACCCTACAGCATAAGAGAAGGTAAAGACTTACAAAACATTCATAAAAATGTTGTTTGTAACAGGTATAAACATCAAATATCCAAAATAACTGACCACAGGGACTCATTAAATGACAATAAAACCATAATATGTAATACCACAAAGCTCACAAGACTGAGTGTCTCTTTTATTTAGAGTACTGGGGAAGAAACAAACATTGCAGAAACAATTGTTTGATGGCAAATGCTCATCAAACAATTCAGTAATGATGTGAGGTAGTTCACACAAAATGTCTAAGCCTATTCTATAGGCAAATGCAGAGCTGGGGGTTCAAAGCAGAGGGAGGAATCAACATGGGCTAAACAGACTGAGTGATCCTGCATGGGTCTAGGGATTGCTCATTATTTTCATAAAGTCATGGAATGAGAATTAGAAGGGGATCTTTTGAGGTCTTCTTATGCAATCTCTCTAATCTATTGAGAGAAAATGAGGTACTGAAGAAGCAAAGTCACTTGCAAAAGGTCACACATATTGCCTAAAAATGGATTCAAAAGCTTGGGGACAGTCTGGTAGTGGAACATTTGGATAGCATTTGTGAAGCCACTGACACCCAGCACTGTGAAATTAATTAATTAATTAAACAGATTCAGCTAGTCCTGATAGCTTAGTGTTTTTTGTTTTTGCTTTTTTTGTTGTTGTTGTTTCATAGCAATAAACCACTGATCTCTGAGGGACAGGTAGGACAGATAGATGCCCTGACAAGCCAAAGACAAGGCCTAGGAAGCTCAAAATATAAAAGACAGCAAAATATACCCATATATCCTAAAAATGAAAAGCATGTGGTAATAAAATCTAAATACATAACTCAAATGAAAAACCTGAATTATAAACATCTGCTTTCCAAAATAGTTTCTAAAGAACATTTTCTTATTCAAACATTTTATCATCAACCTGATAATGGAGAATCACAAAAATAACTACCTTGTATGTCTTCATACACCTTTAGTTTGCTCTTTACTATTTTAGGTTTGCCTGAGCCAAAAGATAAATATAGACAAAAATTATCACCCTTATACAGAAAAAAGGATAGAGTATGCAAAAATGAATAGGGCTTTGGTATGAATCAGCCCAGTGAAAAGTTCACAATTAAACCAAGTTTGGTAATGACAGTTCTCAGAGGAAAAAGTTAGACATTTAGCAGGGAAAGAGTGATGCTGGACCTAAACCAAATTCAAGCCCTCTAACCTACTAAGGGATATATGATGTCACTGAACATATTTTTTTTTTGGGGGGGGGGGTGGTTAGGGGTATAGTTCAGTGATAGAATGCTTACCTAGCATGCTCAAGGCCCTGGTTCAATTGTTAGCATTACAGAAAATTGAAAAAAATAAAATAAAAAGGATTCTGTGTGTGTGTGTGTGTGTGTGTGTGTGTGTTACTGGGGACTGAATGCAGGGGTACTCTACCACTGAGCCACAACCCCAGACACTTTGATTTTTAAGACAGAGTCTCACTAAGTTGCTGAGGTTAGCCTTGAACTTGCAATCACTGGGATTACAGGTATGTGCCACCAAACCAAGCTTGCTCCTTCTTGAAACCAGCTTTTGCAGAATTGAAAATCTCAATCCTAAAACTAGAGAAGCTGAGGAGCAACCTTGCCTGGGAAAGTGATGGCACCTGTACCCAATAAGGGGAATGAGAGTGGGTACAAGCATGAAAACTTGTTAAACAAGTTAGAATTAGAAACACCTAAATGGATTACTCTACAAACTATCCAGTCAGGCAACTAACCCTAATGCCAGCAGAAAAGCCTGAGATCTCTGAGCAAAGTAGGTTAGACACACTGAGGGCAAGGATGCTGTACTGAGAAAAGGGTGATCAAGGAAGGGGTGAATATAACACTGAGCCCTCTTTTGCCCTATTTTGCTCCTAAAAACCTGGCAGCCTACACTTTATCTTGAGTTTTCTCTGAGGAGTATGATCAGTCTAAGAAGAAAAAAACTTCAAAAAAAAAATTGGACACCAGATTTCCTAAGAAAATATATCGGGCTAGTTAATTTACAATTAACTTTATAAGAAATTGTCAAACTGTTTTTCAAAGTGTTTGCTGTCTTTTTTTATTCCCACCAATAATAAAATTGTTGTACATTCTTGCTAATACATGGTAATTAATGTCACTCTTTTTAATCTTAGCTTTCTTTTGGGTATGTAGTGGAATATCACTAACTTTAATTTGTATTTCCCTAAAAAAATGATATTGGGTGCCTTATCATGTGAGTATCTGACATCCATATATTTTCTCAGTGTATACACTATGGTGTGTATACACTGCTGTTCAGGTGAACTTGATGACTGGCTGAGAGGCTTATCATTCTGGTGTCAAAAGTTTTATTATATTCTGGGTATGGAGGGCATTTAATATATTTTTCTTAACTATAGGGTTTATTTTTATAAATATAGGTCAATTGATCAGTTTATTGACTGGGGATGCCCTTAAAAGAAAGTTTTCTCATTGTGAACCTTAAGGGTCAGGGAAGTAAGTTCATTTGTTACAGTCTATTTTGGGAAAACAAAACTTCTCTTCCCTGATATTCCATTATCTTTGATTTTTCAAAGGGCCTTGATTTTATTGGTAGTTGTGCCTCAGTTAAAATTTATGGGACTTTTGTTGCTATATAGTTGGCATTTTTAATATGTGAAGTATCATAAATAAAGTTATTTATTTAATTTTTTAAAATGACAGTAGGGATATATTATCAACAACTTCATGCTAATAAGTTTTTAAAAATTTTGTAGTTGTAGATGGCAGAATGCCTTTAATTTATTTGTATATGGTGCTAAGGATCGAACCCAGTGCCTTGCACATGCTAGGCAAGCACTCTGCCACTAAGCTCCAGCTCCAGCCCCATACTAATAAGTTTAATAATTTAGGGAAATGGAGAAATTCCTTGACACAAATTACCAAAGCTCATGCAAGAAGCAATAGAAAACCTGAGTAATGACTATATCTATTAGATTGTGTAGTTAAACACCTTTCCACAAAGAAAGTTCTAGGCTCAAATATAATTTAAAGAATACCAATTCTAGGCAAAGTTCTAGGAAAATAAAGAAAGGGTTCTCATTCCTGACTCCTTGTGTAAGACCAGAATTACCTAGACACCAAAAATCAGACAAAGACACCAAAAATCAGACAAAAACATTGTAAGAAAACTACAGACTAGTTTCCATCATGGACATACACACAAAATTCTTGACAAAAATATAAGGAAGCTAATCCAGCAATACATAGAAAGGGTAATACATCATGACAAGTAGGGGATATCCTAGAAATGCAAGGTTCTTTAACATCTGGAAATCAATTTGTATAATTTACCCTATTAACATGATCATCTATAGATGTATAAAAAGAATTTGGTAAAACTCAACAGCCATTGCTAACAAAAACTCTTAGGACACTAGGAATATAAGAGAACTTCCTACATCTGATAGCACCTAATAGCTATTAACAGGTTTAATGGATGAGGAGGGAATGTACAGTCAAGGCAGTATAGTATTTGCATAAAGGTGGACATTGGTCAATGGAGCAAATAGAGTGCAGAAGTAGACCCACAAGTAGCCAATTGATTTTTAGAATATGTGCCAAGAGATATTCAATTGGGGGAAAAGACCATCTTTGTCAGCCTATGGTGCTGAAACAACTGGTTTTATATATACAAATATGTAGAAAAATTAAACCTTGGCCCTTATAGCATATATAAAATTTAACTCAAAATAGATCATGGACTTAAATATAAAAGCTCAAACTCTAAAACCTGTGGAAGAAAATTTTCAGGATTTTGACATAGTCAAAATCTTTGCCTAAGCAAAGATCTCTTAGGTCATACCCAGTATGAGCCATCAAATAAGGGGCAAAGTAAAGATAAACTGAACTTCACCAACAGTGAAAGCTGCTCTTCAAAAGATTCTGTTAAAAAGGGGTGGGAGTGCTGGGGTTGTGGCTCAGAGGTAGAGTGCTCGCCTAGCATGTGTGAGGCTATGGGTTCGATCCTCAGCACCAAATAAAAATAAAGATAAAAAAAAAAAAAGATTCTGTTAAGAAAATGAGAAAACAAAGCTTTGGATTAGAAGAAGGTATTTGCAAACATCTTTCTGATGAAGGAATTTTATCCAGAATACATAAAGAATCCTTAAACTGGAGGGTGCAGTAATCCCAGTGTCTTGAGAGCTAAGGCAGGAGAATTAAAAGTTCAAAGCCAGACTTAGCAATTTAGAGTCTGTCTCAAAATAAAAAAGTTTGGGGACGTGGTTCAGTGATTAAGTACCTCTGCATTAAATCTCCAGTTGCCCTCCCCTGCCCAAAAAAAGAATCCTTGAAATCCTAAGATTGGCAATATGATTTTTTAAAAATATTTATTTCTTAATTGTTGTTGGACACAATATCTTTGTTTAAAAAATTTATATGTGGTGCTGAGGATCAAACCCAGGACCTTGCATGTGCTAGGGGAGCACTCTACCACTGAGCCACAACCCCAGCCCAGCAATATGATTTTTTTAATGGATAAGAACAAATATGTAGAAAAAATAAACCTTGGCCCTTATAGCATATATAAAATTTACTGACTTTGTTTCATGGCTAAGAATATCTTGATGAATCTTCCATGTGCACATTAAATTCTATTACTGAGAAAGAACCGTTGACATCTCCAACAGTTACTATGGGGTTGTGGTATTTCTCCATGCAGTTCTCAGTTTTGCTTCATGTATTCTGAAGCTGTTATTGATGTATTCATATTTTCTGGATGATTCTATGTCTGGTAATACTCCTTAAAGTTTACTCTAATTTCTAGAAACAGCTATTCAGTTTTTTTTTTTTTTGTACCAGGGATTAAACTCAGGGGCACTCGACCACTGAGCCAATCCCAAGTCCTTTTTTGTATTTTATTTAGAGTTAGAGTCTCACTGAGTTGCTTAGCACCTTGCCATTGCTGAGGCTGGCTTTGAACTTTTGATCCTCCTGCCTCAGCCTCCCAAGCTGCTGCGATTACAGGCGTGCGCCACTGCATCCGGCCAGCTTACTTGATAGTGTCTGCATAATATTTATTTTTACTTCTACTTTTTACTTTAAACCTGTTGTTTTATTATCCAATCTGACAATCTCTCATTTACATTTGTAATGTAATTATTAATATGATTGGTTTAAATCTATCATCTTGTTATTTGTCCAACCAGTTCTTTCTTCTTCTTTTTCTTCTTTTCCTGTATCTTTTAGATTCAGTATTTTGGGGGGGCTTGGTTTATCTCTCACTATTGGTTTATCACCTATACAACTCATTTTTTATGTTTGCTCTTAAGGTTTATGGGTACATCATACGACCTCATCTTTAAAGTTAGAATCTTAAAAGTTTATTTTCACTTCTTCCTTCCTGTTCTTTGTATTATAGTACATTTTACTTCTATGTATGTTATAGACCCTACAACACACTGTTATTGTTTGGTTTTAAATAATTATCTCTTTCAGGAAATGGTGGTATATAATCCGTGTGACTCAGAATGCTGAGGCAGGAAGACCCTAATTTCAAGGCCAGAATAGAAAACTTAGCAAGACCCTGTCTCAAAATAAATAAAAAGGGCAGGGATTATAGGGGTAAAACACCCCTGAATTCTAACTCTAGTACTTTAAAAACAAACAAACAAGCCAAAAACAACAAAAAACTCAAACCAAACCAAAATCAACTAAACAAAAAAGCCTCTTAAACATAAAAATATATTTTAAAAATGTAAAAAGGAGGATCACAAATTCAAGGCCAGCCTGATCAACCTGCAAGACCCTGTCTCAAAATAAAAAAATAAAATAGGGCTGGTGATGTACCTCAGTGGTAGAACATTTGTCTAGCATGTGCCAACCCTTAGATTCAATTCCCAGTAAAATGTGTAAAAGAAAAAAGAAAGGGGTGGGGGAACAAGATCAAATTAGTTACTCATTTATTTACAGATGAAATTTCTAGCTGGTACCACTCTGTCCTCCTTGAAGAACTTTCTTAAGATTTATTTTAATTGTAGGTCTGCAAAAAATGAATTTCTTTAAGGTTTCATTTGATAAAAGTATTTTTATTTCATTTAAAAAGATATCTTCACTGTTTAGGCTGTTTTTCTTCTTGGATATTAAAGATGTTGGTTCAGCTATCTTCTGGCTTGTTTACATTTTGACAAGAAGACTATTATTTTTATTTTCATCAAATATGAAAAATTTTAATCATTATTTGTTCAGCTTCCCTCCCCAGCCCTCACTAGTGACTGAACCCAGGGGCACTCTATCACTGAGCTACACACATCCCCCGTCCTTTTCATTTTTTATTTTTGAGGCAGGATTTTGCTAACATGCTGAGGCTGACCTTGAACTTGTGATCCTCTTGCCTCACACTCTGAGTAATCGGGATTATACTTTTTTCTTCCCAGTCTTCTCTCTGTTGTACTTATTTTTGGATAATTTCCACTGTTTTTCACTAATCCTTTTATGGCTTCTAAGCAGGTATTTATCTCATGCAGTATTTTTCACTTGATACAATTTTTTTTTTTTGGGGGGGGGCGGGTGTAACCAGGGATTGAACTCAGGGTCACTCTACCCCACACCTATTTGTATTTTATTTAGAAACAGGGTCTGGCTGAGTTGCTTAGTGCCTCGCTAAATTGCTGAGGCTGGCTTTGAACTTGTGATCCTCCTGCCTCTGCCTCCAGAGCCACTGGGATTACAGGCGTATATCACTGTGCCAGGTCAGATACAATATTTTTTTTATTTCAAGAAATTCCATTTGAGTCTTTTTAAACTAGTTGTTTTATGGCCTTTGCTAATTTCAGCATTTCTGAGCCTGTTTTTATGATTGAATCTTCCCTAGTTATGGGTCCAGTCTATGCTTCCTTTCATGCTTAGTAATTTTTGATTGGATGATAAACATGGTAACTTTATACTGTGGAGTGCTCAATTTTGTTGTATTCCTTTAAGGAAGATTGTCTTGGCATGGAGTTATTATTCATAGAGCATTTCAATCCTTTCAAAATTTGCTTTTAAACTTGGTTAAGTTTAAAATTACTAGGGCTAATTTAGCTCTAGTAATAAGACATATCCTTTGTGAGGACACTATGCAATGTTTTATATAATATTATGGCCAAAATGACTTAGCATCTTAACTTCTAGGGATTCTTTGCCTAGATATATGCATTTTTACTTCACATATACAGAGATTAGTATTTGGCCAAGGACTTGAGAGGACTCTCCTCTGCAGCTCACTTTCTAGGCCACTCCCTCTTTTTTGGTACCTTGTCCTATAACTTCTAATCAAAACAGCTCTTCCAACTTTGACTTCTAATTCCTTAATTCAGTAAACCTATCGGGCACTGTTTGGTTTTTCCCTCTCTGTACTTTATAAACTGTTTCTAATCAGTGAAGGAAGTATCACTTCAATATTATTCTCCTCTCAAGGATTATAGTCCTATATTGCCTACTGTTCAATATTTGAAAATAAGTTGTTTTTAGTTTATCAGTTTTATAATTATTTATAATGAGAAGGCAATTCCTATAGCAGTTAACCCTTCAAAGGCAGACACAGATGTACCCTATGTCCTTTTTAATTTTTATACATTTGGAATATAATTCTTTTCAGTTTTACACAAGCTAACTCAGAACAGAAATCATCCTTACCTTTGTAGATGTCCCCATAGGTTGATCATACTGAGCCTGCTGCATAACATCACTGACTATCATTTTAGCGATCTTCCAAGCTAGCTCTTCTTGGGCCTAAAGGAAGTAATTTAAACTGTTGATAATGGTTACTCATTAGATGGATCAAGATGCACATAATTAGAGGTCTAAAATCAATCATATAGAGGTATAATTTTAATAACAAATATTTTCCATGTATTTTTTCTAGAGTCAGGCATTGTTTTCTAGAGTCAGCCAATATGACTACTTTTGTATTAGAAGGTCAAAATCTAACACTTTACATTTTCTACTCCCATCTCTCAATGAGAGATGGCTATTCAAGCAAGCCTCCACTTTTGAAAGTAAAATCAGAGTGGGGAAGGACAGCTTTTGTTTCTGCAATATGATCCATGCCTACTGATTGATGGAAATTTGAATGGATTGATATCCTTCAATGGCCATAGTCTCTGTACTGAAGTCCCGTGGTCTAGAATCATTCTTATCATCACCATGCAATTCTTAATTGCTAAGAAGGGCCTTTCTTTTCTTGTTATATTCTGGATAAGGGAGCACAGATATGTCAAGCTGTTTAAACATGGGAACTAAAGAAAGAGAAAACTTTAAAACCTTTCTTAGAAAAGGGTAGCATTTATAAAAGGGATCTTTTTATACTAAAAGTAGAATTTACCTCATCAGTATTTCCTTGTACCCACTTCTTCATAGCTTGTGAGAACATGGATCCTAGTAACAAAACAAAATTGAATACAGATTTCATACATAATTTTACATTAAAAATGCTCTTATTTAAAAGCTGTTACTTTTAGACATGGATATTCTTTTCTAGTATGATCCCATCCAAAACATTAAGGAATATTACCATTGGTAAAAACCAAGTATGTTTGTATGTTCCATAACAAAGTATTTACCTTACAAATATCATAGAAGTGCTTTTGAAAAGCTATTTCAGAATTCTAGATTTTTTTTTTCCTACTCTCCTTACCTGATGAAAGAAATTATTATCTAGTGTCAAATTTACAGTAAACATTAAAACAAACAAACAAACAAAAACATCTAACCAGGACACTGATCTTAGGTAAGAAACTAGCAATACATCAGGAGATAACTGTGGGAGACCAACCTTACACATGACTGAGTTACAATCCCCGGCTGGGTGCTGAGGCGCTCAGTTGCAGAAATGTGGCAGAGCTTTCCCCACCCTTCTTGAGTCCGAGGGTCAGTGTCTTGTGCATGGGTGTGTCTTGCTACAGCCCCATGGGTGAAGCTATGCTCACCTGTTCCTTTGTAATATAATCCCTTGCCCTGTTTAGGATAGAATCTTCCATGGAAGTGCCTTGTGTGTGTCCCCTTCTCTTACTGTGCCCTTGGGTGTGGCCTACCCAGGTGTCAGTCAACCTGCTAACAGTGGACATCATGAAGTTAGACTCAGCCCCCTGAAACCTGACCCCTTGCCTTATTTAAATAACTTCTCCTCAATAAAAGGGGTCAGCGTGTGCTCTCTCTCTTTCTGTGGACCCTTAAGGTGAGAGGAGCCGTCACAGTGACCCCAAAGAAAAAGGTATTGTGTCTCTTGTGTGGTTATTTCATGCAGCCCAGTTAGCCCAGTTTAACTGGAGTGACCCCTGAGCCTTTTAGTCGTGAGATCAGAAACCCTGCAGATAATAATACATTTATTATATTTTTAAACCTTTAGACCAGTTCCTATACAGTCTTCTAGTACAGATCATGTTGTTATAAGTTGGACTACCTAAATGAACTGGATGAGAACAAAATTTTAAATAGTCATCTCTATCCAATCCACAGTATAACTCAACTTCAAATACAGTCAAATACTGGTCTGGTCAAATTTTACTGTCAATGAGGACAAACAGAGCCACAGTGTTAAATGCTTTGCCTAAAATTTCACCCAGCTGTTCAATTAATCAATGCACTGCTTTCTCATCAGGCTTATCTGCAGAGTCACACTACTGACAGTCTCTTTCCTATTGACACTCTGTTCTTTACCTCTAATATCTATATCTTCCATGACTATTCTGTGTTCCCCCTTTAACATGGAGTTTATCCAGGATCCCCATTGTCAGCCCCCCCACCCCCTTTTTTCCAACTTGTAATCTTCTGGACATCTCATTCCCTTCTATGGCTTTAACTTCCTTTAATATGCAAATAATTCAGAATTTCCTCCTTGAGCATCAAATCCTTATTTCGAAATTATATAAAAGAATCTCAAATTTAACATGTTATAAACTCATCTTCCTCTTATCTACTCTTTTTTTGGTGTGTTCTCTTAAATTTTTCTTTCAGAGAACCTATGTTAAACTATTCAACATAGGGCTGGTGATGTGGCTCAGCAGCAGAGCACTTGCCTAGCTTACATGGGGAACTCACTGGGTTCCATTGCTGGCACAGTAAAAATGCTACCAAATTCCACCTTGAAATGCAGTCTCTTGAACTTATCCTTGGAAGCCTCATGAATCTGACCTTCTTTCCAATTCACGCTACCACTAACTTCAAATCCTCTTCTAATTACTCCTAATCCTGCTGCATTGTGTTTTCTGACACCAATCACTCCCCAACTACAATTCATTCTTATTTTAGCTCACAACATCTTTCTATAATTCCTTCTTGTTACACTTTCTCTGAGATGATTTTTAATGTAACTTTTTAAATTACCTTGTTAAAAAGCCTCTGAGATACACTCTTCTCAAAATTCTACTTTTTCTTCCTCAGTGCTGTATTATCAGAGATGCAAAACTCAAATTAAAACTACAGGCTGGTAAATGACAAACATTCTGTCCAGCTATACTTAGCAAGGAAGAAGAAAGTAAACGAAGGGGAAAATGAACTGTAAACAACTACTATCAAGACAGTATTCTGAACAAATTACATGTCCCCATTTCTTGATTACTTCATCTATAGAATGGGGAGGTGGTATATATCAATGTATTATCTAAATTGCATGAGCTTGAAAATGCTAAGAAATATTCATTATTTGGGTGTGAGAAGAGAGGGGAGCCTCTGTGAGTATCGTAAGAAGAAAGTAATCTGGGTAAGAAAATTTAGGGTCTCAGTGTGCAAAAGGCAGCCAAATTTAAGAAATATTTTTTTTTCTTTACTCTGGGGTGTTAGGAATTGGATTTTTTAAAAATGTATTATCTCTTTTTTAATATACCTTTATTTTGTTTATTTGTTTTTATGTAGTGCTGAGGATCGAACCCAGTGCCTCACACATGCAAGGCATGTGCTCTACTGCTGAGCCACAACCCCAGCTCCTGGATATTTTTTCTTAAATGGAATTATGTAGTCCAGAATTTTGTCACCCATAATCTCTAATGATTTTTTTTTTTTTTTTTGGTGGTACAGTGGATTGAACTCATGTCTTGTGAATGTTAGGCAAGATCTCTATCACCAAGCTACACTCCCATCCCCTCTAATGGAATTCTTTTTTTTTTTTTCTTTTTTGAGAGAGAGAGAGAGAGAGAGAGAGAGAGAGAGAGAGAGAGAGAATTTTTAATATTTATTTTTTTTTTTAGTTTTCGGCGGACACAACATCTTTGTATGTGGTGCTGAGGATTGAACCCGGGCAGCACGCATGCCAGGCAAGCGCGCTACCTCTTGAGCCACATCCCCAGCCCCTCTAATGGAATTCTTAAAGATCAATTAATACAATCAAAAAATATTTAATAAGTAACTATCTACTACGTACCTGGCATAATTTTAAAATTGGAGAATATAGTGCCAAATAAGACAGATAAAATCTCTTCTCTCACAGAGGCAATATTCCAGTTATGAGAAAAATAAGATTATAAGAATGTATGCAAATAAAATAATTTCAGTCAATGAATAAGAAAGAAGTGGTATGTTAGTAGTACAGATGATTTTAGATCTTGAGGGTTGGAAAGGGCTCTCTGAAGAGACTATGCTGAGAAAAGGAGGAGCCAGTTGTGGCATGAAAGTCATGGCAGAGGAAAATAGCAGCTGCAGAGGCCCTAAATGTAAAGAAACCTCAGAAAAAGAATAAAGGATAGTTGAATTAGAGCTTAGTCTGTGAAAGAAAGAGTAGTGCATAGTAAGGTAATAGAAACAGAAGGGGACATTCATAAGACACAATAAGAGGAGAGATTTTATTTCAACTGCCACAAGAAACCATGGGGAAAGGGGTGAAGTGACATAGGCACAATGTAAGGAAATTCAAAACGTGGGGGGAAAGGTTATAATAAAAACTAAAAGGTACCTTCCCTCTTCTAATACTTAAAGTAACTGCTGCTGAATTTTGTGCATATATTTTCAGGTGATTTTTAAATGTATACACCAATATAGTCTTTTAAAAAATGTTATATATGTATGGCAGGGGGTGTATAGGTGTAGCTCAGTGGTAGAGGGAACTCTCATCTAGCCTATGAGAGGTTCTGAGTTCCCTAGCACTGCAAAAATGTGTGTGTGTGTGTGTGTGTAGAAATATAAATCACATATCATAGCACTTATAATTTATGACATGTTACTTGAACCATCAAAATTTCCAGTGTAGAGGCTGGGGTTGTAGCTCAGTGGTAGAGTGCTTGCCTAGCATGCGTGAGGCACTGGGTTTGATCCTCAGCACCACATAAAAATAAATAAAATAAAGGTAATGTGTCCATCTATATCAAAAATTTTTTTAAATTTCAGGTATAACTTCTAGTTTTCAAGAAATGCTATGAAGAGGTACTGGGTTTGACTGTCAGCATTACATATAAATAAATAAAATAAAGATCCATCTACAATTTAAATAAAAATTTTAAAAAGTAAATATATTTAAAAAAAAAAAGAAAAAAAATGCTGGGAATGAAGCAATAACATATATAATATAATCAGGAAAATCCAGAAGGTTGAACATTCTGTAGGGTTCTTAGCCTGATTGTTTCACAAGTCTGGTCGTAAGGAAGAAACCAAGCTATAGTAAAAACAGACTGAGGTTATATCCTCCTATTTATATCATCTTTGACATCTAGCACAGTGCCTGGCACATAGGAGTCATTTAAATGCCTTCTTAGTGAATGAATGCAATCTCTGCGCTCCTATATTACCAAAAAATACTTAAAAAGAGACATCTGGAAAACCAAAGGAAGAACCAAGATATGTGGATATATTTAACAAACTCCTATTTGTAACTTTATATAAGCACATCTTGATTAAAGTAATAATGCCAGTAAACTGGTGGATGGGCTTGCTGATAGAGATACGAACTTACTGACTCTACCTTCAAATATAGCCCACTTGCAGCCTAATCTCCACTTAAGCTTAATCTACAACTATCCTCCCTTACTTAGATTCTGACAAGAATGTTATATTTCTCTGCCTCTCTTAAAGCACGACATTTTATTTCCAAACAGCTGCCAGAGCAATCCCTTTAACACATAAGTCACATTACATTGCTTCCCTGATCCAACCTCCCATGTTTCCCCAATACTTTCCAGTCCTTGCCATGGTCTCTCACTCACCTTCTACCACTCATCCCTTTGCTCACTGCACTCCAGCCACAATGGTCTTGTCCCTTGTTTCTTTAACCAAGAACACTCTTCTTCCAGATATTGCCTGAGCTTCTCCCCTATTGGGTTAAGATCTTTACTTAAAATGCTGTCGCCTCAATGAGGCCTTTGCTGAAGACCATTCAAATACCACTACCCACTACTCTGCCAGCCCATTACCCTACTTTTTATGCTTACACACACACACACACGCTCATATTTACAAACATGTACATAAACAGTATTATCTGTTTAATGTCTCCTTCACTATCATTTAAGTTATAAGAAAAAAAATTCTGTTTCTTCTCAGGACCTAGAACAGTAGACATATATAATAGGCACTCATCAATTTTTTAGAATAAATGAATAGCATAAAGAGATTGAGCAGAGATCACGATTTAGGAAAAAATTTCTTGTGTATCTTTTTTCATAATATATCTTACTTCATATAAAACAAGCTAACTGCAAACTCCCAATTCCTATGCTATAATATTTCCAACATCTGTATATGGAGTAGTAACATTGCTTCATGAGCTGTCAGAGGTATAAGAACAGATTAAAAAAAAAAACAAAAAAACTAAATAGAGATTTTTCTGTTAATACTGGAGACCCCATTATCCTCATTGACAAATGCTACCTAATGACACTGTAGAGTTCTTCCTGGCCAATGTCTCACAGAGGTCATCCAGCACTTCCTCTATTTCAAGGCTATCTCTTCCCAATATTCATCTTTTACCCAAGACAAGACACATAACTACTAGACTGTAAGTTTCTTGAGGACAGGATCTGCACCTTCTAACATGCTCAGTGAATATTAGTATACAGAGGCACTAAAAAATCATTTAGTGGGCTGCAGATACTAGCTCAGTGATTTACTAGCTCAGAGAGAGTACCTTCCTAGCATGCCTGAAGTCCTGCATTTAATCCCTAGCACAGGCAAGGGAAAAAAACAAGCAATTTGATGAATAAAGTGTTTATATTTTCCCTTAGTCTTTATATTCTTCTTAACTGAGGACCTGAGACTTCTCTGACAAAACAGAAAATAAATAGAATCAATTATATGGATAAATAAGGTCAAGTAAGTAATAGGTCCCTTTCTGTTCTAAATTGCTTCAAAAAATCGGTTGTATTTTTTTCAACTATGTAGATCTAACCTAGAGCATTCATCAAAATAAAGCATATAATTCATCACCCAGCTGTAGTTGGGTTAAAAAAATAGGATAAACGTAATAGGAATTTAGTATTATTAAATTCAATAGAAAGATTAACAATAGTTCTTAATTTTAAATACACTTATTAAAATGGAGTACTTTCTACTTAATAAAGTTAGCATCCTTTACTCAAGACACTATTGTCAGCCAATCACATATCCAAATGGATTCACATTTGTTTCTATAATCTTCCTGTATAAATAAACTGTTTGGAAGCTAAAATCAATCACAAAGGCACTTAAAAAAAGATATGAGTCTAACTCTAGAATTGACCAAGCCACTCTTCTGCTGATTAAATGAAGTAAGGATTTGAATTTCAACCTACTAATATTCTCCATATATATCTCATAATAATTTTCAATGGTTTTGTGAAAATTTAATAAAATAAAGATAAATCTCGAGTCTAATGTGGATTGGGTATTTTGCCACTAAATAAAAAGGTAAGCAATCTTTTCTCACTACTCTGCCTTCCATTTTGGTAAAGCCGGTTCAGTAACTTCATTCAGCCCTTGTACTAACTTGTGAATGTAAACATGGGGTGAAAGATATGGTGGTTATGACCAGTTTAAACTTAAGCGGCCCTTCAATTATAGCCAGTGAGTAACATGAGCAAAGGTTTAATATGAAGTATAAAAATACCACAAACCTTTTGATTTCTTTACATCGGGTTCAGGCTCAGATTCTCGGATAAACTGACCCAAGTCACTGACTCTTCCAAATGTCATCTTCCTACATAAGAAAAATTATATGTGACTTCTAAGAGCTAGAATTTAATCCCTTTTTAAGTATTTCATATAAATCTAAAAAGCTTACTGAAAATAGAACCTTCCTCCACAGAAAGCAAATTCAATTAAATTTCATTCAAAATCTCAAACAGGTTATGAAACATGACAAATAGGGAATTCACAGTTCTAAAATTCATGCAGAAGAGAAAAGGCACAAGAATAAACAATTTTCTAAAAGAAGGAACAAAGAAGTAGGACTTGCTCTAACAATGATCAGAATACATTATAAAGAAGAGATTGGGGTTCTAATTCACTGTAGAGTGTGTGCTTAGCATGCATGATGCCCTGGGTTCAATCCTCAGCACCCAAAACCCCCAAAACAAAACAAGTAAGCAAGCAAATAAACAAAACTCCAAAATTGTAAATGATAGCACAAGACACAGAATAGAGCACAGTATCAATTACATAAAAATAAGCAAATAGGCAAGGCAGAGTGCAGCATGTCTGTAATCCCAGTGACATGGGAGGCTGAGACATAAGGATTACAAATTCTAGTCCAACATGGGCAATTTAGCAAGATCCTGTCTCAAAACTTTATTGGAAGAACATTTCTGGGTTCAATCCCCAGTACTATTTTTTAAAAAGGAAAGAGAAGGAAGGAAAGAAGGAAGGAAACTATAACGTAACAGTGACTACTCTAAGTAAGAAGGAGAGAAAATAAGCATTGGTGTACGTTAAATTAGAAGACATTAAACTTATAGGTAAATTTAATTTTTTATAAGAATAATCTATTTGTAATTAAAAGTTGGTTAAAAGAAGAAAATTTTTGTGATACCTGTATAATTTTATTCCAGATAAAGGGGACTTTATTTTACAGATAATCTTTTAAAAAATATTTTTTTAGTTGTCAATGGACCTTTTTTTTTTTTTTAACTTATTTATATGTGGTGCTGAGAATTGAACCCAGTACCTCACATGTGTGAGGCAAGCGCTCTGCCACTGAGCTACATCCCCAGCCCTTAGAAGTATTCTTCTTAATAAATCCTCATTTCATTCATGGCACATACGTATGCCTATACCAACTGATAAAAATTTGTCTTAACTTTAGGAAGATGCTAAAATCATAAAACTAAAACAAACAATGAAAACCAACTTTAAAAATGATGAAGAAAAATTATCATTTCTCTTTTTGGATCCATTTTATAGATTATTTAAAATATACATTTATACACACAAAAATATAGAGGTAAACATTTCACGATTGATAAAACTTTCTTATGTAAATAAACCATTCCTTAAGAATAAATCTCACCTTTGGGAATTAACTCATTCAGGCTTATCATCCACTATTTTCTAAAAGATCACTAAAACAATTACAGATTATAAACTATAAGTATGACACAGCTGAAGTGTACTTTCCAAAGACAATGAAATTAAATAAATTTTAATTTCTTCAATATTTTTAAAATTTTTTTTGTTGTTGATGGAACTTTATTTTCTTTATGTATTTATATGTGTGCTCAGAATCAAACCCAGTGTGTCACAGATGCTAGGCAAGCGCTCTACCACTGAGCTACAACTCCAGTCCCTTCCTTCAACAAAGACTCCTCAGTTTCCCCCAAATCACTGTTACTTTCTGATAAACAGCAATTAAACATGTTGAAAACCCTCCTTCATGGTACTGTTGGGACTAGGTTAGGGGCTGAGGTAGGGTAATCAAGACTACACAGGTTTATGTATTAAGCTATCTTCAGAGAAGAGGCAGTGATTTTATGATTTGTCTGTAGTAACTCTCAGTAAGTGGCATATCTTATGTATCATTGTCTTTCTCTTCCCAGGTAAAATGAACACAACCTAGTTCTTAAGTACAAAGGAATGATTACATTCCATTTTCCAAATGCTAGTTATGTACTCCACAATAAATGATGTTGGCATCTTTTTTGCTTTTTGTTTTTAAGACCAAAACTTTGACATAGCTATCATGTGAATCAAACAAAATGTGTAAGAGACAGACTATATTACCAAGACACTCATTAATCTGGCATATGCTGGTGGAATAAGGATGGTAATGTTTATGATGTGCCTACTAGATATCAGGTTAACATTTTAAATGCTTTTCATGTATTATCTTATTTAATCCCTTCAACTCAAGGAAGTATTAATATTATTCTCATTTTACAGATGAAAAACTGAGACATAAACAGGTTAAGCAGCTTGCTAATAAGTAGCAAAGCAAAGATGAAAACCCAAGAAGTCACTCCAGAGCCTTCACTTTAGCCACAATGTTACTCTCACACTATATATTATAAATCTCACACTATAAATTTAATTAAAAATTTTAAAAGATGTAAATTCTTCTATTTGTTGTATCATGCACGAGGCCCTGGACTGACTCTTGAATGACAGGCAAATATTCTACCACTGAGCTACATTCCTAGTCCTTCTTTTAAAATTTTATTTTGAGACAGGGTCTCACTGAGTTGCCCAGACTGGCTTCTAAATTGTGATACTACTGCCTCAGCCTCCTGAGTAGCTGGGATTATAGGTGTACACTACCACACCCGGCTAAATTTTTTACATTTGTAAAAATTCTAGACATCAGCTAAGCTTACCCTGCATATGTCCGTTGATATAAAGATTCTGGATCCAGACTCGCAGCATCCACAATTATCGCTTCATCAAAATTTTTCAGAATTTTAATACTGGCTTTTTTCACATTGGACTACAATAGAAATTATAAAATAAGTAATACATTATTCAGGAAACAATCAGTCCTTTGTCTGGACTATACAGATCTGTACAAAATTTTCTTCAATGTATGATTTTCACTCAATCCTTTTACTACTGAGAAACTCAATAGCAACAATTCTGAAATGCTGAAGGAGAGCAAAAGATTAAAATGTAAAACATGTATTTAACATGCCAAATCTGTTTTCATAATGACCTAAGTTTCGACAAATGTGCTATCCTTACAGGCATTATTTTCCCAGTGTACAAAGCTCTCATCCATCCACACATGTATCTTAGCTAACAAAGCCCAACTTTTTACAGGGTGATCATGAATGTTTTGGATTCTCAGTGAGGTTGTTTGACAAAATAGAAGCTAAAGAACCCTTTCTAGAATGACAAGCTAGCTGAGTACAGTATGTTCCTCTCCAGCATTCTACCTCCTACACCCCACTCCTACAAAAAAAGCAAGTTAAATTTGGTATTTTCATGAAATACAGAGCTATGGGTTGATCCAGAAATTCTACTTCTAGAAACTCAACTATAGACAGACTCACACTTACGCAAAATGACATATATGCAAGATTATTTGCTGCAGCACTGTTTAAAATAACAAAAGGGAGGAATCAAGCCTAATAGTCATAACTTAGGCATATAGTAAATGAACAAAATAATTTAACAAACACTTAAACAATGCTTCATTGATGGAGAAGAGGGGGACTCAAACAGAGAAAAAGAATACTCTCTAAGATACATAGTTAGATCGAAAAGAAACATTCATCATAAGAAAGGAACACATTTCAATTAATTCTATGAGACAATTACTACTCAGATATCAAATCCATATATCACAAGAAAACCAAGACAAATCTCTCATATTATGGAGTGTATTATTTTATGAATACTGATATAAAATCCTCAACAAAACTACATCTGGCAGCATGTTGAAAGGATTACTAAACACCATAACCTTGTGGGATTTATCCTAGGAAAGCAAGGTTGGTTTAATACCTGAAAATCAATTTAATACTTATCAATAGAAAGAAAAACCCCAGAAACCTATGTTACTATTTCATTGGCACAGAAAGGACATTTGACAAAATCTAGTACCCTTTTGTAATTAAAAAAATTAAGATTAGTAGGGAACTTATTCAATCTGATAAACAACATTGATAAATTTAAAAAGTCACATCTAACTTCATATTAAATGATGAAAAACTCAAAAGCTTTCCCTATGAGATCAAAAATAAGACAAAGATGCTTGCTTTTGTCACGCCTACTTCACATTGTTCTAAAAGTTCTAACCAGAATGATTAGATGAAAAAAGAAAATACAAAGCATTCAAAGTGGAGAGGAAGAAAATTATCCTTATTCACAGGAAACATTTTATACAGAAAATCCTAAAGAATTCACAAGAAAGCTATTAAAGCTAATAAGCAAATTTAGCAAAGTTCAAAGCACATAATTAACACACAAAAATGAGCATATCAGAACAATCCAAAATAAAATTAAGAAAACAATTCTATTTATAATTGCATCAGAAAGAAAAATGGGCTAGGTACAGTAGCACACAACTGTAATCCCAAGGATCTGGGAAACTGTCGTTAGAGGACTGCAAGTTCTAGGCCAGCCTCAACAACTTACTGAGAACTTGTCTCAAAATTTTTAAAAAAGTTGCGGGGAGCTGGGGATATAGCTCAGTGGTAAAAGCAACCCTGAGTTTAAGCCCTACTACAAAAGAAAAAAGAAAAACTTGGGAACAAACTATAAAATGTTACTGGAATACATTAAAGAAGACATAAATAAATAGAAACATATCCTGTGTTGATTAGAAGAGAATACTCCCCAACGCAGATTCCATGCAATCTTCACCAAAATGAAAAAGCTGATGGCAAAGTTCATATGGAATGCAAAGGATCCAGAAAAACCAAAACAATGTTGAAAATGAAAAGAAAAAATAAAAATTAAAAAAGGGGGAAAAAAAGCTACAGTACAAATGCTTTCTGATTTCAAAACTTAGTACTCAAAACAAGGTGGTACTGGCACAAGGATAAACACACAGTTGAATGGAAAAGAACTGAAAGTTCAGAAATAAAAACATATTTACACGGCCAATTGATTTTTCTATGATTCAATGATGTAAGAATAGTTTTTTCAACAAATGATGTTGGGACAACTGGATATCAATATGAAAAAGAATGAAGTTGGACCTCTACCTCATACCACATGCAAAGCTAACTTAAAATGGATCAGATAGAAAACCCTTGGAAGAAAACACAGCAAACTGTAAATCATGGTTACTGCATATTTGGCAATGGTTCTTAGACATAATACCAAAAGTCTGTACAACCAAAGCAAACAGACAAACTAGACTTCATCAAAACTTAAGATTCTGAATTTCAAAAGACACTATCAAGAGGGATAGGCAAGTAGCTCAGTGGTAGAGCACATGCCAAGCATGCTCAATTCCTGAGTTCAATTCCTAGTACTGCCAAAACCCAACAATAATAACAAAACAACAACAAAAAATAAAACACTATAAAGAAAAGTAAAAAAACAAAACAAAACAAACAACAACAAAAAAAAAACAGCCTACAAAACCAGAGAAAATATCTGCAAATCACTATCTAGTAAGTCTGATAAAGGACATATCTAGAATATAAAAAGAACTACTCCAAGTCATAATAAAAAGACAGACAACCCAATGTAAAAATGGGTAAAGAATTCGAATAAACTTTCTTCAAAGATAAATTTTAAAAGGCCAATAAACACATGAAAAGATGCGCAAGATTATAAGTCATCAGGGAAATGAAAATAAAAACCACAATGAAATAAAACTTTATACCCAAGGTGGCTATAAACAAAAAGACAGATGATAAGTTCTGATAAGAATGTATAAATTGGAAATCTCATATATAATGTGGGTGGGACACAAAATGGTAGTCACCTTGGAAAACAGTCTGGCAATTGCTCAAAAAATACACCTAGGTGAATACAACAACAGAAATAAAAACACAAGTCCATATAAAAAGTTGTACACAAATGTTCACAGTACCATAATTCATAATAGCAGAAAGAGGGGAACTCAATGTCTACCAACTGATTGATACACACTAAACATGGATGAACCTTGAAAATGTGATGCTAAAAGAAAAGTCAGTCACAAGAGGCCACATCTTAAATGGTTCCACTTCTATGAAATATCCAAAATAAGCAAATCTTTGGCTCTATAGAGACAAAAAATAGATTAGCAGTTCCCTATGGCTGAAGAGCAGGGATTTGTAGTATAGTAAATGGGATTTCCTTTTGGGGTATAAAAATACTTTAAGATTCACTGTAGAGATAGTTCTGAATAAAAAGATAAAATTTTGAATATACTAAAAACCATTGAATTATGTAATATAAATGTGAATTATTATAATATAGCCATACCAAAAAAAAAAAAAAGAAATATATTATATGACTTCATTTACAAAGTGAATAGGTATATGCTGTCAAGACAGGACAGTAGCTATCCTGGCAGGGAAGAGGATAGAGACTAGAAGGGGCTCCAGAGAGCTTCTGGCTATTAATGTTCTGTTTCTTAATCTGGATGTCAGTTACATGGGTTAGCTCTGTTTGTGAAAATTCTATATATAGTTTTGATAAGTGCAGGTTTCTGTATGTAGTATACTTCAAGCAAAAATACGAACAAACTTTATGTTGCTGGGGATGTAGCTCAGTGGTAGAGTATGCTTAAAAAGCATGAAGTCCTGGGTTCAATCCTATTACCCAAGATAAATAATAATAAATAAAAACGAGCCCTTCTAGTTTATATAAAAAAACAAAATGGCAACCACACTTAGCAGGTTGCCCCCTATGTAAACTTAATAAGGAGAAAAAGTATTCAAGAGAACCTTGTTGACAGCAGTAAAGTAGTACTGTCTTAAAACTTATCCAAGATCCAGCATTCAAAAGTTTGCAGTGTTACTTATTCATTTGTCAATAGTGATAAGATTAATAAGTTATATTATAAAGCTTATGGTTAAGAATGCCTGGAGGGTAATATTTCTGGCTCTACCACTATGTAACTTTAACAAAATAACTTTATTCATTCATTCATTTATTTATATATTTATTTATTCATTCATTTTTGGCAGTGCTGGGGATTGAACCTAAGGTCTCACACATGCTAGCTAAGCACTCTACCACTGACTAACTTCACAGCCTAAAAACTGGTTAACTTCTTAATGCCTCCTTTAGATATTCTGTCTTCAGAATATCCCATTTCATGAGATTGTGGGGACAATCAGGTAAGGTTTGATTTAGGATTAATGCTCCCCCCAAAACCCAAAAGTCAAAGAAATATATACAATATAGCATTCTAGTTCAAAATGAACCCAAAAGGTCAATATTATGAAACTTAAAGAGTTCACTTTTCTATTAAAAAAAAGCATCCAAATTTAGTTATTAAAATTTCTCAATTACACAAAGAGCTCCTCAGAGGCTAAAAATGAATTTAGTAAAAGGAACAGCCACAATGTCTAGCAGAGTAATGGCCTGAATAAAACAGTAAGATACTTCACAATGTGTATGGTTATTCACTACAAATACTTTGATTATAAATAGTAAGTAGGCTAACTTTCTCTTTTATATCAATAACTTAAAACTTACAAATAGGATCTAGTACTGCTATTTAAAGGAAAGGATTGGTATACATCTTCCTACTGGTAGATGCAAATCAGTGACTACCTGTGAAGTGGCACTGTCTGTGCCACCTGGAAGAGACTCATCCGGAAGGCCAACAGAACCATGAGCAGTCAGTGAAACATTGCCTCCCAGAAACTCATCTCCTCGAACTGAATGAATGAGATCATTCAAATACTTATAATAAAGATTGCTGGACAAAAAGCCTGGCAAAAAGACCTGAAAGAGAGGAAAAACGTAATTTTAAAGTTGAAAAATCAAATGCATCTAAAACTATATTTTAATAAACATATTTTACCTGTAATTCTACCAGATAAAACAAATGTTCATACTACTTCTTGTTACCCTGAATATTACTGCTCTGTACAGTTTACTTGGCAATTAAAATTATTGACACATACAATTTTGTTGCCCCCACCCCAAAAAACACTTCTCATAGAAACTGCATGTCTTGATATTAATTCTTAGCAGAAAATCGTCTACAGGGTAGAATAATCTGAAACTAGATCTTTCTGGTTTGTGATAAATGTTAAAGTTTTGTGTTATATTGATTTTTGGTTCTGAACTGCTTTTTTAAATCTTCATTTATTTTTATGTGGTGCTGAAGATAGAACCTAGTGCCCCACACATGCTAGGCAAGCATTCTACAACTGAGCCACAACCCCAGCCCCTGAACTAATTTCTTTAAGATAAATTGTCAGGATATTACTGCTTGCTTAGCTAATTTTAACTTTGGCATATATGGGCAATTTATCCTTCAAAAGTATGTTATCAGGGCTGGGGTTGAGGCTCAGTGGCATAGCACTCGCCTAGCATGTGCAAGGTGCTGGGTTCGATCCTCAGCACCATATAAGTGAATAAAATAAAGGTATTGTGTCCAACTATGACTAAAAAAAAATTTACAAAAAAAAACCCCATAAAAATGTGTTATTAATTTGTATCATTAGGAATATATCAAGTATCTATTTCCACATGAGCTTTCTAAAACTGGGTTTTGTGCTTTGTTCTTTTCAAATTGTTAAATTTGAAAAGTGATGCACAAATGTTTTTATTTCCACTTAATAATTACTAATGATGATGAATAAGCTTCCATGTTTATTATCTGCATTTACTACAAAAGCTTTCGTTCATAGCACTTAGCACCCTTGTAAATATTTATGTCTGTATTTAATATGTACCTTCTTTATAGACTAAGCTGGGGGAGGGAGCAGAAACCACCTTTATTTTATTCACCACCATAACACCAACAACTAACATAGAAATATTCAAAGTACTTGTTAAATGAATCATTCATGTCTTCATTGTCCTCTTCCCAGTTATCTACCAGGGTCCTGCTGGTGTTTTTAAAATTAGTGCAAGTTCTTTACCTATAAACATTTAGTAAGGACTGTCTTAGCATTTTGTTTTTCTCTGTATTCAATTTTTTTTATTTTGAGACAGGTTCTTGCTAAGTTGCTTAGGCTGGTTTTGCACTTGCGATCCTCCTGCCTTAGCTGCCTTTACAGGCATGCACCACCATGCCAGGCTATATTTTAATTTTATAACCCAGAAAGTTAATATCATTTATATGCTATAGATCTGGACTTTTAAATTCATAAAATTTTTAATTCCAACTATGAAAAAGAATTATCCTTAGATAACTGGTGATATTCTGTTACCTCCAGCTTTTCAAAGATTTGATCTTTATGTATAATATCAGAAATTCAGATTTTGTGTAATGTATTATGTAACAGTGCTTAATTAACCTTTTCCCAACTGTATACACATGCCATGTATTAGCAATATAACCTCACAGGCTGTCCTAGATTCTGTGCAATTCTTGGCAGATGAAGACAATGGCAGTACAGAATTTCAGTAACTGAGGTCACTCTGACTATAAAAGTTTATATACTAAAACTCATTCCAGACTCAAGGCCTCTGCTCCTAGTCACTATGTTATACTGCTGCCATTTTCCACTATTGTGTTATGTTTGCTTTTTCCCATGGAATATTTTCTGGGATCCACTAGTAAAAAAAAAAACTTCTTGTAATACTTTTGGAGATCCTGGTTACCTTCTCCATGGTTGTCCAGGCCTGTCGTAGTGGAGTTGTGAAACAGTTAGGGAGTGGTCCACCTTCCCTGCAAATATTGGATTCAATTTCTAATCGCACAACATCATCAAATCCAAGAGGATGTGTGGCTTGGAGGGAGAAGTATCTATGGCAGAAAGATATCCAAAGTAAAATCAAATTCCATAGCAAGTATAAGCAATTTTTGTCATTACTTGATTCAGCTGCAGACCTAGAACCACAGAGAACAGTGATGACAGCTCTACTATAATCTTTACTTATTCTCACTTTGTCAAAAATATCTGGATGAATCTGCAACCTACCTACCTGCCTTCCAGCCATCCTTAGCTTCTGTCCAGTCAACTCTGCTGGTGTTTGTTTAAGTCAAGCTACGACCAAGTAAAGGAAAGAATCACACATATTTGATGGGCACCTAGCCCTCTTTCAGAATTTAGTTGATAGAAATGGATTTATAAAAAAGTAAGAAAAGAGAAAAGATCTGTGCACAGGACACAATAAGAACACACCATCATAATTTGGAGGCATAGCAATAAACATGTAGGAAATTCAAAACAAAATGCTACCAAGGGTCAAGTGGATGAATTTGATATATTTCAAGAAAACAAGACTTGCTAGTGATTTGATATAGAAAGGAAAAGGAGTAAATAACGGTTACTCAAAGATTTCCAATTTGATGGGATAAAATGTAGCTGGTATTTTGGTAAACTGATTATGAAGTAGATACAAAGAACACATTAAATCAGAAAAAAAAAAAGTATCTCTTCCAGCACTTTTGAGTAGCTTATATCTCTAGTTTCTGACAGAAACACAAAAAGTCTGAAGATCGTGACTGATGATGCATACAACCACAAACAAGTTGGGAATTACAAAATCAAATCTGGCACAATGAGCCTGGCAAAATGATGGTGCCAGTGGGATGTCACATAGTCATCTTCATTTAATAAATCTCCAAAGGTGAAATGTAATCCAGTGGGAAGCAGGGTCTCTGCTGTGGTTACTGAGCTCCAGCCAGGACCTTGCTAGTTTAGTGCTAGTGCCACTGACTCAGCATATAGAAAACTCTTTTCTAGTCAAAATTTTCACAACAAAAAGTGAGCCTCCCATGTTGTAATTAATAAACTGGTAAATACTCCTTCATGATATGAATTTTCAGGCACCCCAGATCAAATTTGTAAACTCTTACTGTTTCAAGATTTAACAATCTTTTTTTATGTAATGTCTTTTGGAAAAATTACCACCTCTTTCGGCCTTAAGTGTCTTTATCTGCAAAATGAAGAAAATCAGACTAGATCTCTAATCTGGCTATTCATCAGAATTACCTGGAATTATCTTCTAAAATAAAGACTCCTGGGGCATAACTGAAACCTGCTGAATCCAAATCTTCGAGATAACCGGAAAATAACCAGAAACTTATTTTTAACAAGCTCCCAGGTGACTCATGCAACTTGGCATGAGCCTGCAGACTGATGTTCAGGGACCAGTGACCTATAAGATTTTGGCTCTCCTTCCAATTCTAACATTCTTTACAGTTTTCTCTATCCTCAAGTTATTATCTTAGTATTTGCTTATGGATAAAAATAACAAATTACTTTTCTCCATAAAATAAGAAACTTTAAATGAACAGACATCCTCAGGTTTTGGATCTGGCCACAGTCTTATCACTTATCCAAGCAACTATTTTGAATTCTATTTACTACAAGATCTTTGCAACTTCTCGTTTTCAGGGAAAGCTAATAAAAAACTGGCTGGGGCTATAGCTTGGGAGAGCACAAGCTTAGCATGAGTGAAGCTCCAAATTCAATCCCCTATACCAAAAATAGAAAACAACCAACAATTATGCAAAACTATCATTCATTTATAATGTAATTGAGCAGATTTGCACCAGAAGTGTGATACACTCAAACAAAGATTTTTAAAAATATATATACACATATATATTTTTTGTTATAGATGGACACAATACCTTTATTTTATTTATTTTCATGTGGTGCTGAGGATCAAGCCAGTGCCTCACACTGCAAGGCAAGTGCTCCACTGATGAGCCAACCCCATCCCCTCAAACAAAGATATCTCTTCGCAATCTATACCAACTAGTTACATGTTCCTCTTGTATTCCTTATCCTTTTTTTTTTTAATTTATTTTTTAGTTTTCGGCAGACACAATATCTTTGTTTGTATGTGGTGCTGAGGATCGAACCCGGGCTGCACGCATGCCCAGGCGAGCGCGCTACCGCTTGAGCCACATCCCCAGCCCTTCCTTATCCTTTTAATGATTCAAACTTGTGTTCCTTCCCTACCTTCCTTTTTCCTGATTTAACACAGTGTCTTAGGCATGCCAAGTACAGTTCTGCCACTAAGCCCTCAAACTCGGGTTTCTTGAAAGTGCCACATTCCTTAAAGTTTCTATGACTCTGCTTGTATTAATATCTTTACTTAGAACTTTCTTTCCTTGCCTTCTCGAGCTGGCAAAATTCCATTCACTTTTCAGATCCAAATCAAATCCTTCTCCTATGAAACCCTTCCTGAACACCATATTGTTATCCTGACTTCTACACATAAACATCCCCTTCCCCCAACAGAAACTTTTGTTTCCCACAAAGCCTTACACACACCATATAAAAAGCAGCTTTCATCTGAGCTCCTTGACAGCAGAGACTGAGTTTATTCATCTTTGTTTTCAAACAGTAAATACCTGCTGAATACATCTACCAATAAAACTCACTTGTCATATAAAATCATAGCATCGTTCTGGGCCTCTTGTCCATCATACTGGCCCTTTTTGGCAGCAAGCTGAGATTGGAAGTTATCTGCTGCTAACCAGAATTGTAATATATTTACTGCATCTTCTTTTTCCATGTACTAGAAAGGAAAAACACAAAAGGGAAAATAAGACTAAAAATGGATTTCTTTCACTTGTCTACTTCATGAGCCCTATGCATTAAAATATAGGATATAAGCAAAAAGCAAAAACAAATCTACTTTTTTACTTAACATCAGTTAGCAATAGGGCATGCAGTCATTTGAGATAGAGAAGTTGTAAAATATTCTTGGCAAGGGCAGAACACCCGAAATGAACAACAACAACAACAACAACAACAAAAAACCCACCACACAGATAGATGCAAAATTTAGTGAACTGGAGTAAAAATTACACTAAATTGGATTAGTAGTTCCCACCGTCAAAAATACAAAGAGTAGTTGGGTGCAGTGGCACACGCCTATAATCCCAGAGGTAGGGAGGCTGAGGCAGGAGGCTCATGAGTTCAAAGTCAACCTCAGCAATTTAGGGAGGCTCTAGGCAATTCAATGAGACCCTGCCTCTAAATAAAATATTTTAAACAAGGGCTGGGGAGGTGACTAAGTAGTTAAGCACCCCTAGGTTCAATCTCTGATACAAAAAAAAAAAAAGGTAAGAAAATCAAACCAAATCTTTTACACTTGATCATTTCCATCATTCCATAAGAATATATTAACCTGAACAAATACTGATTTAAATTATGGCAAAGAAAGGGTGTAAAAACAAATCAACTGAGTATTCTGGCAAAAGAGAATCCAAGTGTCCAGATTACATTTTGTGAGATTGGGAATCCTCTTAATAGTCACTTCCTTTGCAACAAAATAATTCCATTTGCTGAAACCTAACAAATGCTATGAAACAAAACCATGCCTCAAAGAGATTAGTATACTTATTCATTTTGCAAATGCTTCACTATGTAATCCTATCAAGTAGCTTAAGTAAAAATGATGAGCATAGGAAAAATTTTACTACTTTTCTTTCTTCAGAAGTTGGGACTCCAATTATTTATGTACTGGAATTAAGTATCAAATTCTATAGCTTTATTTGGTACATAAGAGACTTTTAAAAAATGACAATAATTACTGATGGCTCTACGCTTAATGCATTAATCAGTGTGACCAAAACCTTACACTCAATCTCTTCTATCTGTAATATATTTTAAACTTTTCAAAAATATTCTCATATTCATGAGCTAATATAATCTGTCAAAAAATTCTATGGCTTTAAAATAGTTTCAAATAATTAAAAACATGCATTCTCATAAGCAATGGCTTAATTAGGTTTTCAAAATTAGAGTTATTTTACACTGAATCTTTGTATTTTTAAATGGAATTTTCATGTTCTCTTTGATGAATATGCCATCAAAGTACTCTTGCCATTAGATAAAAAACAATACAATAATACATCTTTGGAAATGACTTATATCTTCTATGTCATTTTCTATAGATGGGGCCCCAGCATTTTATAGTTCAGAGGCTGGAATGCTCTAGTAGAGTGTAAAAAGAAATGCAGAATTTACCTCAGAGAAATAAAAGAGAGCTGACTCACAGAAGAGAATGTCAGCCAGGTAAACAGTTCCACTGGTCAGCACTTCAATCTGGTATTTACAGAAATGGTGACTTCGCAGAAACTCACTAAAGTGCCTGCACATGGACAAAAAAGGGAAAATTTGAGGGAACACCCAAGGAAAGAGCTTAATTGGGAAAAACAAGACTCTTTCCATACTGTCCCTATGGTATGTGAAAGGCCTGGGTCAAGGCTACCTCACTTCCCACGGTGCTCTTCCTGATTCCTTTATCTTTATGTACTCTCTCCTACCTCTCAAGACTTTGTAACCCTCCTGTAATATTTAACACACATGGTACTTTGTATTACAATAATCAAAGAACATGCCCTGTTTCTTTTATTAGGCTGTTAACTTCCTTTGAGGCAGGTATTATACCTAACCATGCCTTGCATAGAGCATTTAATAAATGTTGAATGAAAGAAATGAGTACACAAGATTTTTTAAGGGCATTTTAAAAAGCCCTGAGGCCATTTCAACAAATCTATGTGGATTTAGTTATACAGCACACACTAAATAAAAAACATAACTAAAAAATTAGGATATCCATCTGAAGACATGTATCACTTAAATAAATAAACCAATTTGAATACTCACACATTAACCTCAATCACCTCCAAAATGACTTCAGAACTAAAAACAAATTCTTTTAACTTAGGCAATATTAACATTAAAAGAAGAAATTGTTTTGTTTTTATTAGAATCTAAATTATTTATATTTAAAAAACTATTAACCAAGAGTTTTAGAATGTGCTTGATAACTTTACACATATCCGAATTATTTAAATCCTCAAAGATACTTTGTTTTTAGTTGAGTGAAGTCCATTTTTAACACTGAACCCAAATTCCCAAGAATGCAAAATGTGAAAATACAAAACTAGCTTACTCTTGCTCCATTGCACTAAAGACTATGGCCTGTGCCAAAACAAAACAGTTGGGATCCACCTGTCCATCTTCTCCACAAATCTTTGCTGTAAAAGAAACAGTAAAGAGTTAAGCTTCCACTAAATTCAAACTATACCCATTCGTTAATCAAATTGGGAAATAACAATAAGGACATATAAGTGAGGTTTAAAGAGAATTAAAAGAAAACATAACAGCTTGAAAAAGTCTTTTGCGATGTACATTATATAAAAGTAGCAATCAAGATTTAATAACATAACATTTTTATTCAAACACCCTCAAAAACAAAATAAAAAGACAAAATCTGTAGCATATATTAGGAGATTACTATCATTAATTTATCAAACCTTGCAAACTAGTAAGAAAAGCCCAAAGAAAAACAAGCAAAGAACTAACAACTCAAAAGAACTAACATAAAATGGTCAATAAATATAAAAAGATATACATGATCACTAAATAATACAAATTAGAATAAGAAGGCATTATACTTTTGTTTAATAAAGCAGGATAATTTTAACAATACATAAGTGTTCTTGTTTAATAATGTTTGATGTTAATAATGTTTAATAATGTACTTTTTTAATATACTTGATGAAGAGCATAGGAAAACTACAATAAGTGTTAGTGGGAATATAAATTAACGTATCTTTTAAAGGGCAGCTTGGCAGTTTCTAACTTAAGTGTTAAAAATGAACATACTCTTTCAATTGGCAATTGTATTCCAAGGATTGAAACCTGAAGAATTAAGGATTTGTTAAAAACATTTACTTATAAATAAGTTTGTCAAAATGTTACTGGTTGGGCTGGGGGTATAAATTCAGTGATAAAGTACTTGCCCAGCACCTATGAGGCCCTGGGTTCAATCCCCAGGATCCCCTGCAAAAAATAAAAAAGTTATGGGTGGAAAATTTACAATACAAATGGAACTGCCTAAACAACTGCAAATAAAGAAGCTATTTAGTTGGCTGTCAGACAAGCAACCATGAGGTCTCACTCTGAGTTCATGCTGTTAGATGGACCTTAATGAAACAAACAAACAAACAAACAAAAACTCCACAAGAATCAGACTGCATTATAGTTTCCTGGTCCACTGATCCATTTACTCCCACTTTCTCCTAGACAACACTTAGCTGTAACAGTGTGAAATATGTACATGGTCTTTGTCCACTTTCCTAACATGTACTTCCTAAAATTCTTGGAAGTCTTCTCAGTGATAAAAAGTTGTTTTTTTTTTTTTTTTTTAAATGTGCTAATGAGATGACTGGTAGCCACCAAAGAGCATCAGGATGAGGACTAGTCACCAGAAAAGATCAAGGCATGGATTAGAGAATTGGAACTTTTAGCCAACCTCACCCCAATTGTATTACTAAGAAAAGATGGTCCAGGAAAGTCTAGAAGATGGTAGCAACAAATTCCAACTATGTAGAAAACTCAAAATCCATTGGGTATGATGGCCCATGCCAATAATCCCAGCTACCAGGGAAGCCAAGGTAGAAGGATTCAAGATTAAGAAGAGCTGGGGCAATTCAGCTGTGCCCCAGGTTTAATCCACCGCCACAGAAAACCAAAATCCCATAACACGATCAGTCAACAAAAGTAGGTGAACTAGTATTCCACAACCCTCAAAATACAGATGGAGACAACCCACCAGCATCCACAAATCTATGTTTTAGGTGTCTGCATGGAAGAAAAAGGAAAACAGGGGCATCATTTCATGTACCCCAAAATAGCCAACAGGTGTTCACTGGAAAGTATGGTGGGCTAATTTAAGAACCACAGCTGAGCCTGAAAGGGGTCATGCTTCATCTATAATAAGTGAGTGCAAAGTACTCACAGGAAGGAATAAAGAAGCCCCATACTAGAATAACCTACTAGGAGTAAGGTACTTTATTTCATAAATCACAAGTACTAAGTTTGAGGTGAATAAAAATAACAAAATTTAGTACTAGAACTTATTGGAATATAATATTGGAATATAATATTTGCTGATGAATAAATGAACCATTTTTTTTCTGTGAATATAGGTCGTCCTCATGAAACACAGTAAAAGCTTTCAAACTTTTTTTTACTATGATCTACAGAGAAGTTGTTCATTCAGTATTATCTATACACACATATATGCATGTATAATGGAAAAAAAATTCCTGAAATCTTTGCCCTTACTATGGGAAACACTATGAATTTTCTATTCTAGCCTTTTTTTTTTTTTTGGCAGGGGCAAGAGGGCATAAGAGAAAGCTGGTTCCAACCTAAGTATGAAAACACTACCAATTAGGGTATGGTCTAATCTCAAATTCTGACTGTGAGATGTTGCTTTGAACAATGTAGTTAATGTGTCTCTACTTCAGTTTCCTCATTCATAAAATAATAGCTACTTATCCAATAAGGTTCTGTAGAAGTTGAAATGAATTTATCTATGGGAAGTCCTTAGTTTATCATCTGGACATTGTACTAATAAATATGTTGTTATTGTTCTTGCTTTTGCTGTTATTCAGGTTAAAATCTAGGAATTCAGGTCCACATATAGGAAAGCAACTTTTTAAGTGACCTATACATCTATGTAACAGATATAAGAAAACAGACTAGGAAGGGAAGTATGTTAGGTTATTCAATGTTCATTAAAAATTCTCCAAAAAAAAGAAAAAAAAAATCTCTTAGCTGAGCATAGTGGCACATCCCTGTAATCTCAACTACTTGGGAAGCCAAGGCAGGAGGATAAGAAGTTTGAGGACAGCCTGAACAACTTAGTGAGATCTTGTCTCAAAATAAAAAAAAAGTGTAAGGGATAAAGCTTAGTGGTAGAGTGTTTGCCTAGCATGTACAAGGCCCTAGGTTTAACCTCTACCACTAAAAAAAAAAAAAAAAAAGACAAAAAACCCTCTTGGTCAATAATCAAAAATAGTCAGGTTTTTTTTATTATAACTTCAAGCACTACGTACCTATGATGTCATTTCTCATTGCTTCTGTAATTGGTATTGGTTTAGCAGCATCAGGAGATATATATTTGGTAAAAGTATTTACTGCATCTTGCTCTATACCTGCAAGGGAAGAAGGGGACAAAGTTCAAAACTGAAAAGCAACTTGGACCATAGCAATGGACTATATTCAAGAATAGCAGGATTTGGCTTATTGTGTTCTTTTGTTACAAGATAAACTTCCATCGTAAGGCTACCTTTTCTTTAGTTTGGGAGCAGAAGATTTATATGTGAATTCTCTCCAGTCACCTTGAGATAACAAGCTTCATTATTAATAGCAATTTTTTTTAATGTACATTCTTTGTCTCTTCTCCCAACTTGAAAGACTTGCACAACAATATAAAAGAGTGCAAAACTTATTTATAAATCTATATTTAAATATTTTACCAATAATTTCACATACATGAATACCATTTTTTTTTTTTGAATACCATCTTTTTGACTTTCAACAAACTTGGAAGGTTAAACAACAAATCTCGAACTTTTAAATCTCAGGATTTCTTTATAATCTTAAAAACAGGAGCTAGTGGGCTGGGGTTGTAGCTCAGTGGTAGAGAACCTGCCTAGCATAAGTGAGGCAAGGAAACAGAGGCAGGAGATCAGCATCACCCAGAAAAAAAAGAAATAGAAGAAAGAAAATGAGAATCCTAAAGAACTTCTGTTTATGTATGGTTCGTTTATAAATATTAAGGTATTAGAAACTAAGAATGAAAAAAATTAAGTTAAAATCAATACTTAAATCTTTTGTGTTCAACATGAACATTTTTATGAAAAATAGCTATTTTCTTTTTTTTTTTATTGGTTGTTCAAAACATTACAAAGCTCTTGACATATCATATTTCATACATTTGATTCAAGTGGGTTATGAACTCCCATTTTTACCCCGTATACAGATTGCAGAATCACATCGGTTACACATCCACGTTTTTACATATTGCCAAAAATAGCTATTTTCAAAATAAAAAAATTGGTGGGATGAAGGCACTGTTTTACACTTTCGCAACTCTAAATTTGGATTCTCATATCTGCTTTGGCATTCAACCTTATGCCACGCTGCTTTGATAAAATAGATATTAAGAACATCAGACGTGTAATTAGGAAGAAGTAGAATTTGAATGGTTTTTTTGAGATAACTGTGGATATATTCTTTAATATTTCAACAAAACGTGTGGTAGTTCTAAAAGGTTAGAATGTAGAACCTAAAACCATGTCAATGAAGTTTTCATATTGTTACATTAAAATCTACAGTCCTAGTTTCTGTTCTTTTATTTATGAATGATTTTATAAAAATCATGCTTTCCACTACTTTAGAAAATACTGGTATTCTGATTTATACAGATCTTTATAGGTTTATGTAAATCTAAAACCATCATTAATTTCACCAATGATCTTATTGGAACACCCTTTAAAACTTTCAAAGCACATGGTGGTATTTAGAAGTTTTCCAAAATTCTTATTTTCATTTGAAAAGTTTAAATTTTAGCACTGGGCAACAAATGCAGTGTTTTCCTTGAAGTGATAGGCTCACTTTATTAGTTTCCAAACAAATGTCTGCCATAGTTTGTCAGTGTTCATTCTTTGTAGTAAAAGTGATAGTCTAGGGCTGGGGTTGTAGCTCAGTGGTAGAGTGCTTGCCTAGCAACATGTAAGGCACTAGGTTCAATCCTCAACAACACATAACAATAAATAAATAAAGATATTGTATCCATCTACAACTAATATATATATTAGTTGATTTGAGCTAATTGAGCTCAAATCACAATCAATTGCTCATGTGTGTTTCTTTAAGCCAACTAGTGTACTTTAGTATAAAGAGCTTTACACATAATTTCTACCTCATTACACAAATTAAAAAGAAATTACCGTGGACTCAAAGGGTTAGCTTGTTTAATAAAAGTAATTCTTTATTACCCCAAAGACATCCTTAAGTAAAACTAGCATTTAGTTTCACCAGAAATAAGAGCAGTAAAGAATATACCAACTGGAGCTGGGGTTGTGGCTCAGTGGTAGAGTGCTTGCCCAGCATGCGTGAGGCACTGGGTTCGATTCTCAGTACCACATATAAATAAATAAAAATAAAGTTCCATTGACAACTAAAAGAAATATGTTTTACAAAAAAGTATTAAAAAAAAAAGAATATACCAACTTACTAGTACAATTCTGTCTAAAGCCAGCACATTTTCCCCACTATTTCTCTTGTACCAGCATTACTAATGTCAACACAGTGAAAAAGACAAATAACAATCTTAGAACTGTGAAAACAGTTTTGACCTCACAGACCTGCCTTACATCTTAGGGAATCCCTGCAGGTATACAAACCACATTTCAAGAATCCCCGACTTAAGCTAAATAGATTATTATGCACCCCTACTCCCTGACATTTTTAGGGATGCAGATGGACCTGAGAGGCACTTTATCTCTGAGCTACATTCCTAGCTCTTTTTAATTTTTACTTTGAGACCAGTTCTCACTAAATTGCTTAGGCTGTCCTTGAACTTACATCCTCCTGCCTCAGCCTTCTGAGTTGCAGGGACTATAAGTATGTGCCACCACATCCAGCTAGTATTCCCATTTTTATAGGAAAAAAAAAAAGGTATGTATAATAAAGGAAAATATCTTATTTGAATCAAGAAAGTATGGGAATGGGGAGTAAAAATATAGGTTTTATATGTGTTTGCAATTGTTACCAGCTTAAAATAGACTGTTACAAGATGTTTTATGTAAACCTCATGGCAAACGAAAAATAAAGGAAAATGGGAAAAGATAAAAGCATGCCAATGCACATGTGCACATGCATGCAAGCATGCACACACATTCACAAAATCAATAAAATACAAAGGAAGATAGGGAAAAAGGAGCAAAGGCACTACAACATGGAAAACAACTAACAAATGGAAGTTAAATCTTACCCTATTAACAATTACATTAGGGGCTGGGATTGTGGGTCAGTGGTAGAACGTTCGCCTAGCATGTGTGAGGCACTGGGTTCGATCCTCAGCACCCCATATTTTTTTTTTAAAAAAATTACATTAAATGTAAAAGGATGAAATTCTCTAACCAAAAGACAAAGAGTGGCTGACTGGTTTAAAAAAGAAGACCCAGGGGCTGGGATTGTGGCTCAGTGGTAGAGCACTTGCCTCACATGTGTGAGGCACTGGGTTCGATTCTCAGCACCACGTATAAATAAGTGAATAAAATAAAGGTCCATCAACATCTAAAAAAAAATTTTTTTAAATATATAAATAAAAAAGAAGACCCAAATATATGTTGTCTTAATTTTTCAGATTTAAGGATACTCACAGGCTGAAAGTGAAGGAATAGAAGACAATACTCTACATAGTTGGAAGAAGACATTCCATGCAAATGGTAACTAAGAGTCACATGTGTATCAGACAAAATAGATTTTAACTCCATCACAAAGAACCATCAGGAAGATATAACAATTATAAATAAATGTCGAAAGCCGCTCTGGACAGGTGCTATGCACTCACCTTAAGTCCTGAGAAAGAGGTACTGAATAGGTACTGCACCCCACAATACAATTTGGACTTTACCTCCACGTGGATAAGAGGTACAGCTCCAGGAGTGGGAATCACCCAATGGGGTTGGATTACACCCACTTGTTTGTTGTAATACTACCCCTTGCCTCATATGAATGGCTTCTCCCCCCCCACAAAAAAACCTGGTTTTCAGGCATGCTCCCTCTCTTTCTTGCCTGCTTTGCCCCCCTCGTGGGAGCTGTGGCTAAGGAGCCGTCACTGATAAATAAATAAATTAATTAAATAAAATAAAAAGAAAAGGTACTTTCTGTGTCTATACCTTTATTTAGTCAGACCAAATTCACTTGAGACAAATATATATCCAAAATCAAAGCATTTAAATATATATAGCAAACATTGATAGAACTGAGGAGAGAAACAGCAACATAATAATAGTAGAATACTTTAATACCCCACTTTCAATAATGAATAGAATCAAAGACAAAGAAAATAGTAAGGAAACAGAAGACTTGAACATCCAAACAACTAGATATAACAATATATATATATTCTTCTCAAGCTTAATAGAAGATTCCCCAGGATAGACCTGTTAGGTCACAAAACAAGTCTTAATGAATTTATGGAGAATAAAGTCATAGCAAGTATATTTTCTAAACACAATGGAATGAAACTAGAAATCAACAACTGAAGGAAAACTTCAAAATTCAAAAATATGTCAAAATTAAACAACATACTCTTGAACAATGATGAGTCAAAGAACAAATCAAAAGGGAAATCAAAAAAATATCTTGAGATAAGTGAAAATTCAACATACTAAAACTTTTTTGAGATACTGCAAAAGTAGTACTAAAAGGAAATAACAACTTAATTTTATATCTCAAGAAATTAGAAAAAGAAGAATAAACTAAGCCCAAGGTTAGCAGAAGGAAGGAAATAATGAAGATTAGAGCAGAAATGAACAAAACAGAGAAAATAGGAGGGGAAAAAATCAATGAAGCTAAGATTTGTGTTTTTGAAAAGATAAAAAATGTGACAAACCCTTAAGCTAGGCTTAAAAAGTGGGGAGGGGGTATGCTAATAAAATGAGAAATGAAAGAGGAGACATTGATTGCAACTGATGCCATAGAAATCAAAAAGGATGGGCTGGAGATGTGGCTCAAGTGGTAGCGTGCTCGCCTGGCATGCGTGCGGCCCGGTTTCGATCCTCAGCACCACATACAAACAAAGATGTTGTGTCTGCCAAAAACTAAAAAAAAAAAAAAAAAAAATTTAAAAAAATTCTCTCTCTCTAAAAAAAAAAGAAAAGAAAAAAAGAAATCAAAAAGGGTCATAAGAGACTATTCTGAACAACTACACACTAACAATCAGATAACCAAGGAGAAATGGACAAATTCCTAGAAATATTAAAGCCTATCAAGACTAAATCATTAAGAAATAAAAAAAAAAATCTAAACAGACTTAGAAGTAAAAAGGACTTTAAAAAGAACAAATCTGGGGCTGGGGTTGTGGCTCAGCGGTAGAGCACTCGCCTTGCAAGTGCCAGACCCTGGGTTTGATCCTCAG